GCACCACTGCAAACATTTAGGAGACATGGCTCCTTATTGTCACTAATTTCACCAATTCAAAAATGTCCTACCTAGCTCACTGCAGTCCCTTTTAACATTTGTTGGGTGTTTGCAAACAAATGCCATGCAGGGCCATTCAAGAGCAATACATCATTACCCTCTGAGTGGGGCTCCAAAGCCATGATTATTATGCATAATTAGTGAAGGCTGTGCTCTCAGTTGACCTGTGTGTTGGTTGGTTTAATCAGCTGTACTAACATACAGTAGCAGTCAAACAGCTGAGTCTCCACCTCAGCTAAGCCAAAGCCCTGTACTTACGGCACTGTGCAAAGGCTTAGCTCAAAAGTTTTGAAGGCTTTGAAAAATACAAGATTAATCATTTTAATAACTCTTTAGTTATGCTTTGCAAAAACTCTACACAGGACATGCTGTATAACTAGATATTCTGGCAAGGACAGGCTCAAGTCTGTGAGGATACAATTCAAGGAGATGCTTTTGTCTGGGAGGGAGCCTATGGGAGGATATAGTTGTGAGAAAATATCTGCAATGCATCCTAAAATATATTCTGGGCCTGTATTCATCTAACGTCTTGGAATAAGAATGCAGATCTGGGATCAGTTTATGAGACCTGGGCATGTATTCAAGAAGTTTCTCATGGTAGGAGTGCTGATCTAAGATCTGTTCCTGTGAGTAATATCATTGTAGATGAGAGGAAGCTGATCTTAAAGCAGCACTCTTACTCTGAGGAGCTTGATGACTATACACTCTGATCCTATATCAGCCCTGCTCTTCATCCACGTTATAATCAAGTATTATATAACAAACTGCATACATATTTTACACTGCTATACTGACCAAAAGGATTAAACAATAAAGGTCATTGATGGAAAAGTTACTAGTCTAACTAGCAGAAACTCTTTTAATGACCGTAATCTCAACCAAGTGCCTATGGCTATTTTTATTTTCTGCTCTGGAACTTCATGATACAACCTGAAATGGAGCAGTTCCTCAATGATTGCAAGCTGTCTTACAAAACAGCCTCACACCATTTCACTCGCTATTTCACCATTTCACAAGTGGGATTTATATGAGTATTAGTATGCAGCGCTTGTTTTTCTACAAACGTCATGCTGCATACGTTTATCAGAAAGTAAAAAGTTTGTTTGATCCATCAGTAGGGCAGGACCGAACATTGCTCCAGTGGTGCTTTAGAACATCTAGGTTAAAACACACAAGAGACAGGCAGCATAAGGCAGAGTCCAGACATACATTAATTAGGACACCTGACTGCAGTTGTCTTACAAATTCTCAATTTTGTTGCAAAGAAATGCACTTCCCATTTATTGAAGCTTGCTTGTAATGAGATCATAAATATTACTAATATGCTGTGACAGAATAATATTTAAAACAGAATTTTGCATTTATCATATTTTTTAATAAAACTTTTCAGAGACTTTTTACCCCCCAATTAATGACATGGACAGATCAAAACAATTTGTGAAATGTTTGTAGTTATTTTCTTTAGTTATTCATGCAGTCCAAAATAATTCTACATGGTTTCTCAACATTTTCTCACACCTGTAAATGGCTTAGAAATGGCTTGGAATGCCAAGCAGCCTACCTGAAGAACATTCAGAATTAGCGTTAGATTGCAAGTATGCCATGGACATGATGGAGTGAAAGAGACTAATCTTTAAAACAGATAAAGCATCAGGGGAAAGCAAGTGAAACATATTCTTTCCACTTCCACCCAGACACGCATGCATATGTGCCTATTGAATACCAGTGATGACTGTGTGGTGACTGGCTGTCTGTCTGCAGAGGTGGAATGACTGGAATTCTTTGGAATATGTAGAAGTTACTGTATTCCATTATCAGTGTGTTCTCATAGCTGTTCCCATAGCTGTTCCCATTATCTACAGCGCTTCAGCCTGTGGTTTGGTCAGCTGAAGGAGTCAGGGTGGTTATTTAAGCATGCTCATGTTACACAGAGCTGCATTGTGAAAGGCTGTAGGAGTAAGGAGATTGTGGAGGCCTAGGGGCTTATCCACACCCCAAATCACATTGGGGGGATTGTAACATCACACTTCTCTCCCCAGGCTATAGAGTATAGAGAAGCAGAGGAAGGCCATGGCCCCATGGGGGAAGGCAGCTGACCGGATGGAACAGCTGAAGGCCTAACACACAGCCAGCACCCCTCCTCTACTGCAAACCCCCAGTTAACGGCAATATTTCCTCTCTCCCTCTCTGTCTTTGTTCTCCTCACACTATTTCAGGCTCTGCTCATACCGCCCAGGCCTTCTTACCACCAGGCGAGAGAAAGTGAGAGAATAAGCAAGGGATGGAAAAAGAGAGACAAAGACGGAGAGTGTGAGTTCACAATGTAGACTCCTTATTTAGCCAGGCCCCAGGAGGACAGGAGAGTGGTGCTCGTAAAAGGACCTGTCTGGAACAGCTGATATGCTGCAACAGACATTCTGGCTCACCACTCCCCCCCAGCTCTGAAGGGACAGCGTGCTACAGAGCACATCTAATCAAAACTCAGCACCCCCCACGCACACAGCTGCAGTCCTTAGGCCCCTCTCCAAAAAAATGATGACCTCAGAGGTGCCTGAGTCGATCACCTCTGCCCCACCACTGCTTAGCATTTATAGCCTGGGGAAGTGGGCACAAGTACGTGCGCGCTGGTGTTTTCATGCTTGTGGAATTTGGTCATAAGTGAATTTTTATTAACGTATGCTTTTATTAAATAATAAACAAATATTCAGTCAATATTTCAAATACAACTATATAATGAAAATGGTACTTCATATGGTTCATGATGTTTTTTATGTATTAAATTACATTGTTAATGAACAAAACTGAAATTGAAAATTAAAATGAACAAATACACTGTATGGCCTATACCCTACACGGTATGTGGACACCACTCCTAATTACTTAAGAGTTCAGTTGTTTCAGCCACACTTAACAAGTGTATAAAATCAGACACACAGTCATGCAATCTCTATAGACAAACATTAGAAGTAAAATAAGTTGGACTGAAGGGCTTATTGACTTTAAATGTGGCACCGTCATAGGATGCCACCTTTGCCACAAGTCAGTTTTATCCAGTAAATTTTTGCACTGGAAGATCTACCCCTGTCAACTGTAAGTGCTATTATTGTGAAAAAGAAGTGTGTAGGAGCAACAACAGCTAAGCCACAAAGCAGCAGACCACGCAAACTCACAGAGCGGGCTGACCGAGTGCTGAAGCATGTAGCACATAAAAGCTATTTTATGTTGCTTTACTCATGGGATGTCTTACAAGCTTAAAAACACTATGTCCAAAAGTTTGTGGACACCCTCACAGTGAATACAGCTCCATTAAGGTGCACCAACTGCTGACAAAGGAGTTCAAATGCACACACAGCTTGTATAGTCTCAAAAGAAAAGCACTGACCAGAGAACAGGATGTTTTAGAGCCTAAGGCCACCATGTACGATGCCAAGCGTCAGCTAGAGAGGTATAAAACCACCCAGCACTAGGCTGTGGAGCAGTGGAACTGCGTTCTCTAGGGTGCTGGAGCACCAGGGATGAGTTGGAGTGGCATTTGTGATCCAGACTAATCATCCAATATCAGTACCTGACTACCTCACTAGTACTCCCACTGCTGAATGAAATCAAATCCTCACAGCAATGTTCAAACATTTAGTGTAAAGCCTTCCCTGAAGAGTAGAGACACTTACTGCAGCAAAGGGGGAAAACCTCTTTTTTATTACTTTTGATTTTGCAAGAAATATTGGATGAGGTGTTCATGAACTAAAGACAATGAAACCCAAAGCTGAATTAGATGTAAATGGTTTGATTAATTGAATTGCATTGATTGAATTAAATTTTTTTAAATAACAAACAAAAAAGTCTCAGTTTTTCGATTTTTTTTTATATATGTAAAGCTTTCAATAAAAACAAATTATGAAATCTAAAACTGAATTTGTTGTATTTCACACTGTAACTTGTTTTCTTGATAAGACGATTGCATTCAGTGATTACGTCTGAAAAAGTCTGGCTCTTTGTCCGTTAGACAAAGAAGAGGTTTGGGTTGTTCCTGCTGTAAAAATATGGTGTGGAGCATTGTCCTGGAGCATTAGAGACCAAAGTCCTCCGAGTTTAGTTTCCTGTCTGTATTGTGCTACAGAGGCTAAATTTAGCAGCAAGATCAGCTTTTGCTCAAAGGCGTGAGGCATGATTGAATGTTTGATTTGATTTTCAGAAGTGCTCCACAGCCTCACAGGGCACATAGTCGCTCCTTAATTATATCTATAATTTTTCAAGCTAATGCTATACACTGCCAAGCGAAACAATAAAGCACAGTATAACGACAGGATCCTCGGGAGAGCTTCCTTTCACCGCTGCTTCTCAGCACCGTGGAGCTACACACTACTGCTTTCAGCTCATTACTACTAGAGAAGAGGGAGAGAGAAAAAAAAATTTCAAATTACAATACTGCTTCCCATAATGACCTTCATCAAAGCTCCAAGTACTGTCACTGCTCGGAGTGGAGTTCTGGGAAAAGAGGAGACCACATCGTGTGTGCTAGTGGCTATTGTACATTGTTAAAAAGGCAGGAAAGTGCTCAGCTGACACACACTTGTTTCTTTAATGGGTGTCGGTTGATGGCAGGAAAAAAATGCTTTGTCCGTTTTTTTTCATTCTTGCTGTGTCAACACAGCCGTCCTTTAGCGCTCATTACCCACAACAGGATGTAGTTTGTTGTGTACACACGCACAAAGCTCTTCCTTATCACTTTTTCAAAGCTCACCACCCCCTGCTGTTGACAGTTGTCCCATTTCAAACCAAGCCCCTTCCCCAGCCTCTATCAGCCTAAAGGGTCACTTCTGATACGATGTGTGTTAACATCAAGTAGGACACACATCAAATAGCTCAGATCACAGGAATATGTCAACTCTGTAGTTTCCTCATGTCCATTCCATTTATCACATCTGTATCTTCTTTTGCAGTAAACGTAACTGTATCTGGCAGACAGCACTTGTTGGGGTTGTACGACACTGCTGGGCAGGTAAGTCACTTTTAGAACAATTGGAGAATTAGAGCAGTTTTATCATGTACCCTCCTAAGTAAAGTCATAAGCAAAAGTTGGCCTCTGGTCAAACTTTCATTGATTTGCTTGGTGAAAATAAGTTAACGCATTCTCTACAAAGAACATACTTCTGCAGATTTTAATGCACAATTAGTTTTATTTGCTGAATTTTACATATTGGAAAACAAAATATAAAATGTGGCCTGTGCAAAAATTATGGTACATTTCATATTGCATGTTTTATGTTTTTCCAGTAAATTACTCAGCAAATAAGTAGCTAACCTCTCAGCTAACCTCTATTGATAAGTTAACGGCCATCCATAAAACAGCTCAACAGCTACAGTGTAAATAAGGTGCTTTTGCTGTCTCACAATAGAGAACGCATGAGTCAGGCACTTAGACACGCTATAACATAGCTTAAATCCATCTTGGAGAGAGCGAGCTGTCAGGTGCTATTGACTAAAACCATTGTAAACTCTCTGGCTAAAGTCCATACTGTCAGTAGTACTTTAAATATGCCAGTGGCAGAGAAAGCCCAGTGCCTTAAGACCAAATGCTAGGTTTTCTAGCATCTTAATCCATTTTCCACTAGTCCTACAAATTAATCTCAGCCAGGAATTGTGAAATAATAACCATCTGCTTTAGCTGCAAAGTAGTTGAGGTCATGGCCAAGTCAGTATCAAAACATTGCTTTTTTGGTTTTATTCTTCAAAGGCGAAGTCACAAGACAAGTCAGCATCAGCCTAGAGGACTGCATTTGAACATTAGACACGAGTCACATTATACAGACCATTATGTGAAAGAGCTTCTCCCAAAAAAAACTATCAAATTAAATAGCTAGTGCAGAAATACGTAGTAACCAGGGATGTATATTTTTGACCCCACAATGATTTGGATATCATTTTAAGAAATGATTTATTGCATCATGACAATTTAATCAAGAATCAATTTAATTAGCGATGAAAATTATTTGGGGGCAAAACACAAGTGCCTACTTTACTGCTTATCCATTATGACACTGAAAAGATTCAGACTGATGCGTCATTATGCACCTCACTTTTATAGCCTTTTTAGTTGAGCTGTGCAACTTAAGTCATTTCTTTTTTACAACAACCGAAGAGATCACAAAGTGTCCACATCTGGATGCAACACCACTCAACAGCTGGAGCATTCAGAGATACAAAGCAAAGTTTACCACAGAGCGGTGCGCCACAGTTCGTTAAGCAACTCTCAGGCAGCCTGTGGCTGTGGACAGGGAGCAGTCAGGCCCTGTGCTAATGAAGCACTGCTGTTTGTTTAAAACCAGGGCAGACACACTGATTTATTCCCCACGCAGCGCTGCGTAAATGAACGTTATGTAATTCACTGCCTGCCACTGTAAGCAATTCACTAATGCTGAGAACCATCTACGGCATGCTGGGCTCTACTTTCATATCGATCACTCACGCAAGATCAATCGCTCTTGAACAGCAGAGCATCTGGCTCTTATGGGCTGCTGAGCGGCCATGTTTGCCCTGCAAAATAATGTTTGCCTAATGCGAAACATTTATTTATTCTCAGTTATACATACAGTGACTCCTGGCTAATTTCAACATTTCCTAAAAGATATGTTCATTTTTATTTAGATGTGAGGTTCCTCAGTTCCTTTGGGCTCTCTGTAAATGACTTTTTTCTTACTACATAGTGTGATGTTACCCAAGACATCCCAACAGTAGACACTGCAGATTTATTACACAATGCATTTGGATTACAGGTTGCCTGCACATGCACTTCATTGAAGCTGATTTCTTCACCAGTAGATGTGCTTTTAAGGTTACATGCACCCTTGATTTCTGCTGGCCTCCACCCTCTCAGCATATTTGAAAATGCATATTTGGTGGTGGGTCGCAAATGTGTGCGGAGGCGGTGTGGAGTGCATGGAGAGGGTAGAGGTGAGAGAGGAAATGGAAGGATATTTAGCAATGTCTACAGATTAACCCCACAAAAGCATACAAAAACAACACAGCCCATAAATCAACTCCCAAACAATGGAAAGTGACATTTCTCGCATTAATTTTTATACATGGAGCAGAGTGCAAAGAGCTTGCTGCAACAGTTGGAGGAGTCAGCATTTAGAAGGCTGATGCTCACTTACACATAACACAGGACCAAATGCCATCTATAACATTACAGATTGAGTTGGGGCTACAAAAGCAGCAAAACTGAATTTCCAGACATAATATCACCCATTGTTGGAGAAATCACTTGCACTCAGAAAACATGGCAACAAATGGGGAAGTAGGAATGCACAATGGTATTAGAATCATGTAAGTATCGGCAGATAATTGCTTTAAAAATAACATTTACATTTAACTGATATTTCGATATTGATGTTTGATAATGTATTTGTTTTTCTCCAGAAGAGCAGAACATTTTGGTGATGATGGGCTGCTAGACTATAAAAAGTTATTCATTATTTGACACCTTTTATTCAGTTTACTGCATCTGTAGCTCTACTGAAATAAATGTTATATTTCTCTGTAATGCTAATCTAGGTAGATATAATCTCAGCTTCTACATTTTATAAATGTTTATATAACCAACAAGCAGGCATATTATTGTGTAGTAACACTGTTTGAAGGCTACCCACCCAAGGACTTCATGACATAACCACAAGCACTGACATTTTTTTTTTTTTTTTAAAAAAGCAATACTAGGCTAGATTCAATAGGATCCATCGTATAACTGATGTTCTTAAGTAGGTGTCTGTCTCAGAAGCACATTACATAGACATGAGACTTCATAATGTTATAAATGAAACAAATTTTCATCACTTCAGTATAAGTGCCTTTACATCAGTACGGTGTCATTTACTTCATATAACATCACTATCTTGCGAATACTGACATAAGCTTTCCATAAATACGCAAAACACCGCTGTTACAATAGGTGTTTCAAAGCTAATTCATGTGCCATTAACTCACTATGTAGGCAACCTTAAAAAAAGTGTTACTGAATATTTACAAACAATATATTTACAACAAAAAATTGAGTTGAATGTTGATTACCTTTTTAATGGTGACGGTACAAGAAGATGACTTTCCCTCTCTGCTGCCTTGATGCTGTTCTAGGAGGACTACAACCAGCTGCGGCCACTTTCCTACCCCAACACTGATGTTTTTCTCATCTGCTTTTCTGTGGTCAACCCTGCTTCCTACCACAACGTGCAGGAAGAGTGGGTGCCCGAGCTCAAATCCTGCATGCCTCATGTGCCGTACATCCTTATAGGCACACAGGTGAGCATCACATATCTGACAGATAAATAGTGAAGAGGAAAAAAAAAGGAAAAAAAAAAACAGGAGCCACCGTCATGGATTTGTGAGGTTATAGTGTTTTGCATTGAGAATCTGAAGATTATACCTTTTACCTTTACTTCTTCAGTTACAACTATGCCACCTAATTGGAAATATAGCAGTAAATGACCTAAATAGAGCAAACAAGTCAAATACTTTCAACTCTGTCCCTTGGAAATTATTAAGTGATAGGCCTGCACCAACTGTTCTCCAGGGATGATTCACAGTTTCCTAACTAATAGTTCAGTTCCAAACAGTGTTGAGTTACTTTAAGTTCCGTTTAGTTAACAATCTAAACTGTGTACATCATCTTGCAATGGCACTATGTACTGTTGGTATTAATAGAATAGAACAGAACAGAACACAACTTTAGTATTCAACAAAATAGGAAGTTTGTCTTTGTTCTCTCTTTTGTAGTAGCATAAAAAACTTACAAGCATTATCATCAAACATATGAACAGAAAACATTCATTTTTACATGCTAAAGATCAGGAATGATTCAGGAGGCTACAGGCAGCAAGAATGAAAGATTTCTTATAGAAGTTTCTCTTAGGTTATGGGCATTGTAAAGTGTTCAGCTCAGACTCACCGTGAAGGGTCATGGTTCGGGTCATGCACTACAGCAAGAGCCTTCCTACGTACTGCAGCCCTGTGGAACTCATCCAGGTGCTTCTGCTTCAAGTATGCCAGCCATTCTAATGATCCTGGCAAGCTTGCTTTTGTCTCTGTAAGTCACAAAATGAGCTGTAATTTTAAAAACATGAAGACTTCTCAGCAAGCCAGGCCATTTTAAGTATATTTTTACTCACTTCAATGCCCTCCTAATTAAAATAAACATTTCTGATTAGCTGGCTTGAAAATATTGTTTGTTTTCAAAACTTCACAGGTGCCTGAAACACTTTATAGTTTCTACAGATTGATCAATTAAAGAAGAAATACAGTACTGTGCACGAGTCAGAGACTACCTTTCATTAATTTAATTTCCAGTCAGAACGGGAAGTTATTCAATTTACAGAAGAAAGTTAAAGAAAAGATAAAATAAGTAATGAAAGATATAGAGAAAATAGGACTCCCAACAACTGTGCAAGACATGGTAGACCACCAAATCTGTTCCCCTCAGTTAACCAGAACCTAAAGCTTTCATCTTTGAGAGACAGGACTCATCCACTGTGATAAGATCAACACTATGAGTCTGAAAGGATGTATACCTGTCAAGAAGCCGTTACTGGGAAAAGAAAACAGACAAAAAAATAGAAAATGTAGAAATCAGACAAAGAATCTGCTGGTATTCTCAGAACAATGGACTGACCAACCTACAGTCCAGACCTCAACATCACTGAATGTGTTTGGGATTACTTGGATTGTGAGAAGCAGAAAATGCAACCAACTTCTAAGACTGAACTTCAGAGGTGTAGATAAATATTCCTGTAGATTTCTTTGAGAAACTGAAAGCAAATCTAAAAATAAAATGGAATCTGTTATGAAAGTATCAGGTGGACATGCTTAATACTGAAAGTTTTGGCTTTATATTTAGTTGTTGAGGCTTCTGGGAAATGTTTCCTGTTAAACGTTTTCTGCTTTTTTTCTGAAAATTGAATAACTTGAACTTAATGGCCATTTAGACTGGAAATTAAACAAGCAAATGGTCTCAGACTTCTGCACAGTACTGTATATCTTAAAAAGCCTGTTTTTGCAGCACTAAAAACAGATACTGTTTGCAAGCATTCCTGATTTAAAGAATGAATTCAAAGAAAACTGACTTACAGCCAAAGATTCTAAAAATAGAACAGCTGATGTGCTGCATTCGCAGTTGTGACTGTTTCTGTTGTGTTCTGCTAGAACTATAGGATACATTATGTTAGGCTCTTGTTCACTGTGGCAGATTGACTTGCGAGACGATCCAAAGACACTGGCCCGCTTGCTCCAAATGAAGGAGAAACCACTGACTTATGAGCAAGGCCTCAAGCTGGCCAGAGAGGTGAGAGAATCTCCATCAAACATATTCTAAGACACCGTAATCAATACATACAGTTTCATGGTTCTTGTTAATGCGCATCTTGTGCACAGATTGGAGCACAGTGCTACCTCGAGTGTTCAGCACTGACGCAGAAGGGACTCAAGACAGTGTTTGACGAGGCCATCCTGACAATCTTCAGCCCTAAGAAACAGAAGAAGGGCTGTGTGCCATGCAGGAACTGCTGTACTATCGTATGAGCACAGACAGAAGCCATGAGGCAAATCCCACTGTGAACATGAGCTCACCTCCAGATGTACCCAACATGGAAAGAAAATGAAGCCAAGTCCCTTCAGCACCTTCCAGTTTCCTGCCTCACTGCCACTGTCCATTATCAAGAAGTGGAAAATGCAGCGATTCGTTACCATTTGAAGCTTTCTTCTCAGCGCCTTTGTTGATCAAACCTTGAGGGTTTGAGGACATAAAGCACTTCAGGAGTGGTCTTGCATCTTCTATAAAGTACATTTCTGAAGCTCAAGCAAGAAGCAACCAAGCAGACTTTCAGAGAAACAACACAGATGTTTTCTTCAACAAATGCTTCACTGTGTCGGAAAGCAGGATGCAAAATCTGCTCTGCTTATACCACATACTGAGATGCTGACCATGTAAAATACAGTTTCCCTTTTGTATTGGGGAAAAGAGAAACCAGTCACCCCTCAAAATGACTATCCTGAGCTTCTACAAGCTCAAAACAAGTGCCTCAATCAAGCGCCAATGTCAGAGTTCTATTTATAACGCCTCTCACCTCTTGGTTCTCTTGCCAAAGACGAGTTGCTTACTCATTTGACGCTTTCATCAGGGACGCAAGTCTCCGCACTGACACAGGGCAACCTCATTCTGTCTCCATTCTAATAAATAGTCTTGGTTTTAGATTGGTCGGCTTTTAGATTTCTAGCCCCATACATTACAGGCTTTTTTCAAGGCAGACAGAGCACTGCGTTCCAAGAGCTTCGATACACTTCCTCTCAGTAAAATGTGACCTTGTGAACTTCACTTTCTTTCTGTGTGTTCAGATGTTACTGTGAAAGTCATGTTGAACTTATCAGTGCCCTGTAATACAGTTACTGTTATACAGCTCTCAAGAATGTACCCTTGAACTTCAGTGCTAGTTTTCAGTAGAGTTACTGCCATGTGTCAGTGCTTCATCAGCTAAAGGTTCTATGAATCACCACATGTTAAAGGGCTAAGGTTTTGTCAACTAACAGCCAATTTATTTAGCCTGCAAAAGCAAATGTAGAAGTTCAGGCACCAACACATTCTTTTCTGCCTGAAATAACTGAACAGGTATTTCTCAGATGTTGTCTAAATGCACACCTGCGTTGGTACTGAATTTCTTCTTTTGACAGCTCTTTGCCTGGTTGTAAAAACACTGGTTGCCTTTTAGCGTGACCTCAGGGACTTCCTCCCGAGCCCACAGGGTGCTAGTGACCTTCCTCATGAGTACAAAGAGGAAGGCCTGGTCCACACAGAGGAAGAATGAGCCTGAATCCTTGTGCCTTTAATGTAGCATAGAATTTGTTTCTTCACTCGTCTTATGACACTGTGCCTTGAGTCGTCCTATGCAACTCTATACTGTAATCATACAAAGAAGAACAGCGTCAACACTGGCCATGCCAGCAATAACTTGAACTGAATGTGTAACTGCAAACCTGTATTTAACTTTTTTTTAATTATTTAGAACGTAGTGAATATTACTTTCCTTTTTTTATTTCATGTATTGGTTGGTATACTATATGACTGCTTTTTGCCAAATATATAAAGGTTTGTATATAGGTCTGGTGTGATTAAAGCTTGTGAACAAACTTCAATACCTTTTTACAGTTCAGCCTTTATTAAGAAACTCTGCAAATGTTCCTATGAATGTTGAACTTTTGTCAATATCCTGCACCTTTTTCTATACCCATGTAGTATAAGTAACTATGGAGGTACTTCTACCCATTACAACAGTTTTCTTATTCTTTCAACAGGCCATAATAAAAAACCAGCAAAGCCATATGTTGTGTTTTGGATGCTAGAACCAGACCATGAATTCCATGGAGGTCTGGGCTTTTTTCTTCAGCACCCTGCTAGAAAAAACAGCACAGACCAGCATGGCTGATCACCAGCAAAACCAGCATATGTTGTATTCTGGATGCTGATAAACTGGTCAGCAGCAATGGAAATTAATATGCTGATCACCTGCAAAACCAGCATATGTAGATGTCAAATTGTCGTTTTTATAATCCTCAAAAGCTCAGCGAGCGCACTCTGTAAGAGGCCTGTGACAGTTCATTTTCCACAGTTGTTAGCTTTCACAATTATTTGTTCACATCCCTTATTTGAGGCAAATGCATGTAAATGAAAGAAAACAAAATGTATTCATTAAGACGTTTACAAGTTGTAACCCTTGAATGATGTTTTGGGGCAACTGTTAGTGATGTGTTTATTTGAGCTTGTGTTTGTCATCATTTGTGAGACACTATACTATCAATAGCTTAGAAGCAAAATAACATTGCAGAGCGTGTTTGTATTTGTGTTTTAGTCGGTCAGTAAGGGGTCCTTCAGGGTTGTATTGTTGACTTTAAATGATGTCAGAAGCATGCCAGAAGATGCAAGTCTAATCTATTACGGCTTTCCTTGAAATGCTGTCATGTATTGAAGCCATAGGAAATCGCTGAAAAAATCCTAAAAATAGTGAGAATCCTAGTAAGCTAATACTAAATGGCTGCTTACCCTAGTGTAAAGGGTACAAACAATAGCAACAAATATTTCTGTTTCACAGACCCCTGGTACAGCATGCCACTACACCCATTTGTCAGTGCTTGACTGCCACTTGTGTGTTTAAAACCTTACACAGACCTTATAAAAGACAAATATACGAGTGCAAGCACACATATTTGTAACACTCAATACTAGCACTAAAAAAAATAAACTGACCACACTGCTATGCAGAACCTTCCAGCATCTTCTCATGTTACTCACGGAGATCTCTGCTCATCTAGTCGTTCTTCAGTGCTGTACTAACTGATGAATGTGTTCATGTGTAAACAGATGTGAGCTTACTGCCCTCTGCTGGTGCAAAAAAACCATTAAACAAAAAGAGCAACAGACACAAAAGACTGCAGTGCAAGGGTGCTTTATCAGTAGAGAAGAGAGAAGATTCTCCAACCAGCCCCCCCGACTGAAATCCTTTATGAAGAAAGGCCCACAGTGTCCCTCCACATACCTCACTGTACACACCAATCGCCAAGCAGCACTCTGTAGCCTGCAAACATCTCTGGTTGCTCCAAAAAACACCTATAAAAATGAGATTTGTCCATTTTTAAGCCAAAGTGGTCTTCATATTAAAATTAATTTTGAGTAACTAAACAAATATACATAGAACAAATATTTCTGCAAGCAGTTTCTTACCAGAAAACTCTCACTTACTTGAAGTGAAATGACACAATGTTCTTCAGAAACAAATACTTCTTCAGTTTGTTCTGCTTACTTTAGAAATTAAGAGAATAGACCAAAAACTATAAAACAGGGGCTTTCCTCCAGCACACAAACAAAAACATAAAACAGACACAATTTATCACAAAAACAGGTTTATTTAATATCTCTGTCTTTTTAAAATAATTAGATTTATTCTATTCATCAAACCCTTTCTTTTGAAATTTTCTTTAACATAAACTTAGTTGGGCCATCATAAAACACAATATGCATGGAAGGGATGAGGGATAGAGAGGCCCAGAGAGAGAGAGAGAGAGAGAGAGAGAGAGAGAGAGAGGAGAGAGAGGAGAGAGAGCGAGAGAGAGGAGAGAGAGGAGAGAGAGAGAGAGCGAGAGAGAGAGAGAGGAGAGAGAGAGCGAGAGAGCGAGAGAGAGAGAGAGAGAGGAGAGAGAGAGAGAGCGAGAGCGAGAGAGCGAGAGAGAGAGAGGAGAGAGAGAGAGAGAGAGAGAGAGAGAGAGAGAGAGCGCAAGCCAAAATGAAAGAAAAAAAATACATCTTTCTCACGTGTAAAATCCACACCCATGATTTAGATTTGAAATAAACTAACAATAAAACAAAAAAACATAAGAATATTGAGTCCTGTGAACACAACAAATTGTCTAACTCGAAGTGCTTTAGTCCTAACCCACTGTGGCGGCTGGTATTTCTCTCGAGGAATAAGACTTACTGGATCAGCGTTTTCCCAAGTGGGCCTTAAAAATCCCCACATATGCAGGTTGTCATTCCAAACACTCCTGTAAAAATCATCTAGCTCTACTAAATCATTTTAAGGGCAGCCAACCATTTTGAACTCCAAAATCTGACCAAAGAAGAGCAGTAGACATCAGAGTCACCATGGCTAAAAGTTCGGGATAAGAGATTAAAACAAACTGTTTAGCTTTATTTAAAACAAAACACTGAATAAGTTCTGAACACTGCGCCACAAGAAAAGATGAACAGAGTCCTCAATAGTGTCTGAAAAACTCAGGCCTGAAGCCATACTTAAACTGCAGTGGCATTCTTGGTAAACAGAGAACTGCCAGACTGAAATTTCAAAGAGGTCTCCAGAGAAACACAGCATGTGTTGACAGCAGGTTATTACCTGTTTCAAACGTTAAAAAAATACTTCTGGGAAATAGATGTCGTGGCAACCGCGTAGCCTACCACTGCCTGCTGTACTCATGAAGCGATTCCTGGTTGATGGTACCAGTGCCAGACTGGCACCTTCCTTAAAAATAAAAACAAAAACCAAAGAAGAGAAAAGGAACATGACATTCTTGATGTTCTTAGGGGGGAAAAATGATGGAGGCAAAAGGACCACTATAAATGTAATTCATTTCTCACTCCTATTCATTTGTCTTTATGGTCTTCGTTCGTCTTTGTGAAGTTTGGATATTCTGGTACAGTAGCCGCACTTGTACATGGAAATATAAACGTTGTTGTGTGCGATCAAGTCATTCTTTGAGGAAGAGATGTTTTACCAAAAAAAAAAATAAAAATTGTGGGACGGAGAAGGGGGCCTCACAAGACTGTGTGACATAACGGATGCGGAGCCCACTGCTCAGTGAGCAACCTTTGGGACCACACTCTTTAAAAACATGAAGAAATTAAGCTCCTGTTCTCAGGTAAAGGGTTTTCAAAATATATCCTTTCACCATGGTTGATTATCGCTTTTCCTTTTAAACAGCAAGGAGTGTACATAAAGTCTTTTCTCCCCTAAGGTACACACACCTCTTTTTCTCCTTTTCTTTTGTTTTTCTCCTTTTTCATTGTCTATTGTTTCAGTGTAGTATCATTGTAAAGGAAACAGAGCAGAAGGGATTTTTACAGTGCTGTTGAGGAGGGAAAAAGGGACAGATGAACGCAGGAGTGTACAGTAAATTATGTAGCACAAGAAGCATGGAGGGGGTGGAGTCCCTGTGGCAGAGAAGAGAGGGCCATTGGTTGGAGCCAGATGGAAGGGTGGAGCCACATCCATGTTAGGTGGGAATGATGCCATCGCTGTTTTGGACACCCCGCCTCAGCTCCAGATCTTCCAGCTTCCGCCACAGGTCCTCTCGCTCCTTCTCCTTCTTCTTTTCCCTGAGACGGAGCAAGAAGAGCAGAGAGAAATTCATTTTGATAATCGAAGTGATATTTATATATGCCCTTCATGATCTAACGTGCAGGGTGACCTACCTCTGACGGTCCGATTTGTAAGTGGCAGCAAGTTCATCGAACAGCGCGCTGTTCATCTCCATGAATGCTTTAAGCACGTTGTAGATTAAAGCAGATATCGCTCTAGATGAGACAAGAGAGGATCAAAATAATTCAGTACATTTGAAAAGGCAGCCCAGAGCCAAAAGTACTCAGGACAAACATTCCTTTACATAGTATGAAAGGGATCATATTCAACATTTGCTCAATTTTTGTTGTGGTTCTACGTACCAAAAACAGTGCAAACTCATTTACACTCAAATACTGATCAAAGTGATATATCCCTTTGGTACTAAAACCTGAAGTACTCTGGCGTAATCTTAGATTCTGAGCTCTGTTTTGTCCCATATGTAAACCCAGCCACTATGGTGGCTTTTATCATTTGAGAAATATTGCTGAAGTTTAGCTCAGAGTGACTCAGAAAAACTTGTTCATGCATTTTGTTACAAGCAGAGGCCTGTACAGCTCATACAAAATGCAGCAGCAAGGATCCTAATAAATACAAGAAAAAAGAGCTCCTGTTTTGTAAGAACTTTACTGACTACCTTTCTTTTAGGATACATTGCAAAGACCTGTTATTAGTTTTTAAAGCTTTTTAAAGAAGGCCTTAAAGCATCTGTGTACCTCATAGAATGTCTGTCTGTTAATGTTCCAGCATGCTAACTTGTACAGAAGCATACCAGTATCAAAATTAAAAAGAAAATGTAATATGTAAACTGACAATGTATTTGTACATTTGTATTTAAATTTACCAATCATATGCAATGAAGAGCTCAGAATGAAAATGTAAACTTTCAAAATGAAATAATGCTATTTTAATTTGCAATTTAGTACAGTAGTATTGACATTTCATTTAGACAATGATTTAGATGTATTTAAATTGCAGTTCAGCCTCGTTTTATCAACGAAATAGATAAACCAGAAAACTTGGCCACACATTTGTTTAAACTCTTTCTTATGGGGTAATGTATAAAGACATTAAGCATGGCTAAATTTCTTTTCTTCACCTCATCCGCTAACGTAAGAGGAGCTATAAACTCCTCGGCTGCCATGTTTTCAAATAAAATCTTTTCCAGTGAGTGTGAAGTTGGCCCGGCCTGAGTTGCAAAGAGGAGAGGTGCCGCATCCCACATTTGAATTTTGCCATCTTTCTAGCTTGGTGTTCTCTTTGATAAAGCAATTTAAATGCATTATTAGAGAGTGAAAATGCATACAAGACAAATTACACTTTAATTATCATTTTGACACAATTATTGCATAATCACATTAAGCATAAATATGCAGCTCCGGAAACACATTTTTATTTCAATAAAGCAACTTACAAAGCATCTAAATTTCTGTATAAATGAAATGTCAACGGTAGCATTCCAAATAGCAAATTAAAATTGCAGTAGTGAATCTGAATTTTCATTCAGGGAGGCCTCTGTCTGTTATTATGCTTCTAAACTATGGAAGTTATTCCACCTTTTATTAGACAGTCAAGCTCAACACAATGTACAGCTTAATTAAAATCTATGTCACTTTTTGGCATTTATCTTTTTAAATTTTATCTTTGTAATGTCTTCTATTATTATGAAAAGTGATATATATATATATATATATATATATATATATATATATATATATATATATATATATATATATATATATATATATACACACACACACACTCTCAGGGACATCAGGAAAAACAAACTTCAGCGACTCCCTTGAGACGTCTGGATCCTGGAAAGCTACAATCAATAAAACTGGCAAATACATTTTATCACACAAAAACTAATTTGTGTTTTTCTTTTGAAAACTGAATTTAAATATTCAATTAATTTTGCTTCACAGATTTTTGAGTAACTTAACTTCATATTTTATGTACACACACACACACACACACACACACACACTATTCAACCATACATGACTTAGGTCTGTCTTGTGGTCTAATTTTTTTCAGTGACTAGCACAGTGACCAGTTCCCTTAAGAGTTGTCATATGAATTCAAGAACTTCATCTGACACTTTGTCACCTAGTGTAATTTACTTCAGTCAGTAACAGCAATCATTTTATCCACTTGTTACAGTTCAGTATTTTAGCTGTCACAGTCTATTCCTTATGACTTTTTGTGAAAGGGCAGGGTAAAATGCTGTAAATAGTTGGGGTGGTCATATGTAAATATATTTAAAAAAATTAATAAATTAAAAAAATTAAAGGAAAAAAAAAACAAATTTAAAACAGGTTGTTTTGCAGCTTAGCCGTCATACAGTCATATGAAAGTAAGTTAACTCACCTTCTAGTTACTGTTTATTTCCTGAATTTAACACATTGGGAAAAATAAAACATAAAATGTAGTCTGTGAAAAGTATAGAACATTTTGTGTTTTATCTTATATTTTTTTTCCCAATATGTTAAACACAGCAAATAAGTAAAAATTGTCTACTAAAATTATCAGGAAAGTGGCATATTTAAGATTGTACCATGTAAAGAATGTGTTAATTTTTTTTTACTTTTTTAAATCAACAAAATCTTTTGCATGTGACTTTGTATTAACAGAGAGATGGTACATTTTGAAACCTTAGCAATTCTAACTTAGCACAACAATCTTCTGCAGAAAAACAAGGATAGTTTGGTTTTCCATAAGATGGGCATTCCAACCCAAATGACTCTACTGGACAGAAACATTAATCTGGTAAATGAGCATTTCCAGTCTCCTTCTACAATGTAAGATAAGGTCTGATTTTGAGTGCACTTACGGGTTCCAGTGCTCTTTAGAGATCCTGTAGAGACTGGCAAACATGATGGGCAGGATGACGCTGGAGTTCTCCTCAATCAGACTCATAATGTACTCGTTGTTCCAGTAGTACAGCGCTCGCTCAGCCACCTGCCACAGAAAGGGACAAAAGAGGGCTACTGTTCAATACATCAGCATTATTAATGTAATTCCAAACAGGGAGTGTGCAATGATTGTGTGCATAGTCAGAGAGCTTGTGTTTATTATGAGAGGGCCTGGATATATAATGTGTAGGAGTGTCTTTGTGTGGGAGTGTACTGCAGACCTGAAAGTGTGGGCTAGACACACATCTGGAGATCTGCTTGAACAGTGGCTCCTGAATCTTGACAAACTGTGTGGGCTCAATCACGTCCAGGATCTCCTCCAGCTCTCCAAGGAACATAACCTAAAGACCAACAATGTGTGGGCGGAGTATCAAAAATCAGTATTCAGTACAGAATCCACCGATGTGGGAGTTCTCAAACTAATAGTGGTATTATCATCTTGCTCAACATTATACAGTTTATAAAATCAGAAGAGCCTTTTACAGAAATGGCTGCATTAAAATACATGAATAGATTACACAGACAAAAGACAAATTAAAAAGAAAAATTCACACCTCTTTCTGACTGCAGGTTTTTGGCCAAAACTTCAACAATCCTCTTATCACCTGTAAAAAGTTACATACAACATAAGTATGAAAAAACGTAATGCAAGCAAGACCAAGAAAAAAGTTGTGAGGAATTCACTTACAGGTTCTGTTAGCGTGGGATCTTTCTCTAGGAACTGTACAATACAGTAAGCCAGCTGCAAGAGTCAGAGATGTTGATAAGTTAATGTACTACTTTAACAACTGCAGCATAACTAGCATAAAAGAAAGAACTTGTGCACAGGGTACAAATGTTGTTGTTTGCTCTTCACTATACTTACTATGTTCCCTGTGGGAACACTATAGTAAAAGAATGCCCTAATTTACCTTTGTTAACTTTATTTATTTATTTATTTTTTTCCCTTTTGTGAACTTAATAACCACACATCATCTCCTCAGACCCTAAACAAAGTCTCTCACAAGAAAAATCTACAATACACTACATGTTTTCTTTTGCAAGGCTGCTTCATTCTTTTTTACCACTCTCATTCCAGATCAGTACAACAACCCTTCAAGTGTCTTACAAGGAGTGAGCACATTGCAAAATAAAGCTTCAAGAGTCCTATCTAAGCATCCTCACTAGCAAGTGCAAACATGCACAGAAGTGCAGGGCCTGGAATACCTGTGCATGGAAGAGGGACAGACTCCTAGCTGAGTGCAGGGGCAGTAACACTTTCACCAGGAACTGCTTGTGTTCAGCTTTCAGAGGGAGTGCAAAACCATTGATGATGCTGGAGAAACAGTGAACAACAATTCAAAACAAATAATATAAAAAATCTAAAGCAATAAATAAACAATCAAACTTTACATTGTGCTATATATAAATTAAAAAGATTAGTTAGACACATACCTTCCCAAGATCTCCAGCAGTTCAGCCACTCCATTGAAGTGCTCCGTTTCATACACAAACCTTGTCCCAGCAAGGGTGTGGAAAGAAGAGAAGAAGAAAGAAGAGAGTTTTGAAAGGGGGTTAGACAGTAATAGAAGCGATATGTAATACTTCAGATCATCTGATTTGGCCTCAAGCCCATCTGGCTCCTCACTTCTCCTCACAATTCTTAGTTGTCTTACCCTAGAAAAATGTTGTTGATCTGTTTGCGGATGAAGGCCCTGAGGCCGAGGAACTTGCCGTAAATTCTGTGCAGGACAGTCTTCAGGCAGTCCCTCTCCCGAGGGTCCTCGCTGTCAAACAGCTCCAGGAGCTGAGGACAAAGAGAAGGAGCACGAGACAGAGGCGCTGGGTCAACAAGAGAACTTAATTTAGCAAACCAAGAAGCTCACAATGCCAATGATAACATGAATAGAGTGCCATGAAAAAGCATTTGCAGCATTCCTGATTTATCTTTGCATAACTGTCACACTAAATGGTCTCAGATCCTCAGACAAAATGTAATAAGGCAAGGAGGGCCTGAGGAAACACAAAAGACTTGTTTTTAAATGAACATTTCTTTTTTGAAAGAAAAAGTGTTGCAAAACTTTATCACCAAATGTTCTAAGGGGATGCCAAGTAACCTTTACACCAGATGTAACAATCTCTTTTTTGCAAAAAGATTTCCTTTCAACTCATCTATAGAACATTATTCAAAAGGCTTGTGGGTCATTAGGGTGTTTTTTTGGCAAATGTGAGAAGAGCCTTTATGTTCATTATGTTAAGCAGTGGTTTTTGCTTTGCAGCTATCATGAGCATCATTTTTGTCCAGTCTCTTTCTAATGCATCATGAATTATGAATGCTGACCTTGTCTTAGGTGGGCGAGGTCTTCGTTTTTTAGATGTTTGTCTGAGTTCTTTTGTGACTTCCTGGATGAATAGTCAAAGTTTGATATGAGTTTTTTTTCAAATCTCTACCAGACATTTTTTTGATTCCTCAAAGCTGGAAGTAATCAAGTCTAGATTAATCTAGTTTAACTGATTCTAATGCAACTAAGCTTAGTTAACTGGTTGACCGAGTAAGTAAGGGGCAACTGCAGAAGCAGTTGATGCTAGATAACTTTTTCCTCAATACATAAAATGAATATTTAAAAACTATATTGTGTTTATTCAGATTGTCTTAGTCTTATAATAAATTTAGTTTTAAGCTCTGAAACATTAATTGCGATGAATATATAAAAAAACAAAAAGTCAGGAGCAGGCAAATACCTTTTCACAGCACTGTATATCATCAGAGGTGTTACAAACGAAGAGAGAAGGTTTCTGTTTAAAATATGAATGGGAAAGCTTGTAACGATTAACATGGCATCTGTTTATGGAGAAAGTCCCACCCATCAATAAAAAGAGCAAATCAGCTTGCTGGTTACACCGCAAGCAGCTTCGACAAGATTGTGGCGGGGAAAGCCCCCCTCGTTGTGCCCAAGCGCTATAGCCAGAACAACCCAGGAAAAAAAAAAAAAATGTTTTTGTGCGTTAATTGGGCCGAACGCAAGAAACTATAAAGTTTTGTTAGATTTGATCTGTGATTTTAAATGTTCTTGAAATGGATGATCTTCAGTTTTGAGTATTTTGATCTTTCCCCATTCAGAGATAGGAATCTTGTCTTGTATGGCTGCAAATAACTGCCTGGTGGCATCGCTCAGAGTGACCAGACTTTCTTCTAAGAACTTTGTTATCATGCAAGCATTTCATACATTTGCAACTCTCATTCATTGCAATTCTAATTGAAAGCCTTTTACAAAATATTTACTTCAATGTGCACAACTCCCATTTTAAAACATGGCCTCTGGACAGGAAAAATATCACAAATTACTTACAAAAACAGATTTCCACAACACAAACGTACCTGTAGTACAAATTTCTGGTCAATGTATTTTTTGGCAATGCTGGGCTGAAATTCTTGACTCTCCAAGAAACGAATGAAGAACTCATAGACGAGCTAGGGAGAAATACACAAATCAGTCAACTCTCTTTCAAGCATGTATCTTTTACCCCCTCTTCTTTGTAAAGACAGCCAGTTTAGAGCTGGTAAATTCTGAAATGGCTCTGATCAGCAAGGTGCAGCTTCTGGTGCTATACCTGTAAGTGTGGCCACGAAGCCTCCAGAGTGGGCTCATCCTCCTCTGGGTCAAACTCATTACTGTCACTGGGTGGAAGGGTCCGGAATATGTTACAGGACACCTAAGAGACACACAGAGAGAAAAAGAAAAATACTGAGACAATGAGTGCGTATACATGCCCACCATAATCCAATCATAGTCGGATTTCTGCAGTTATCCAATTATTCAAATGGTCATGTAAACACCATACTCCGATCTAGAAATCAGAATAAGAAATCCGATAAAGAGAGCTGGAGTTTAGCTCAGTAATCAAGATTTCTCAGTGCATGTAAACTCATATTCCAATTTCTATCAGATTTCTCAGTCTGCGCATGCTGATGGATGTCGCAAGACGGCAGCAAAACACTGGTGGAGCTGCATTGAAACCAAACACAAAATAAAGGATTTTAATATTCTTCATCTTCTAGATAATGTAAGTTCATGTAAGTGCATGTAAACGTGTTGATTGGATTACTGACAAAATCTGATTTTCTGCAGTTATCGGATTATTGAGTGCATGTATACGCACTCAATAATATGACAACACATCAGGCCTGAAAGGCCATGGCATTCGCAAAACTAAACAACAACTAAAATTATTAACCATGCCACTAACCATTTTGACAACTTCGGGATAGGTCTGCTCAGTAAGGTAACCCCGGCTGACTGTTACGTAGTCCACCAGCTCATTGAGAGTGGAGCGCTTGTACTCCTTCATCTTGAGGTCAGACAGTGTGTCCATGAAATCAAAGAGCGTGCAGCACTGCTGCAGCTTCTTCAGAAACAACTCTGGCTGCTCTTGGGCAGACACATCTACAAACAGAGGAAGAGTGTATGTGAGGTGGGGAAAAGTGATAAACAACAGAAACCATGCAGAAAAACACAAGCAATTGTTCTGACAAAGGCTTTTACACTTTTCACTTCCTTTTTAGTTTCTGGCCTACAGCATCAAAGTCCTGTAATACCTTTCAGGCCACTCAGCGAAGCTCACTCTTCTACTGATGAGTACTAATGTTTACACATTACACAGAGCAGACTTTCAAAACAAGCATACAACTTTAAAGGATTGGTTCAGCATGGTTCACATCAACTTTACACAATTTTCCACTTAGCCCAGACATAGTAAATTAGCCAAGACACGTTTGGTGTCCAAATATTTGATTCTGTGGTTTAGCACTGGGGTTAGAAAGCTAGAATTGCTCACAAACACTAGATGTCAATGGTCACCCAAATCTTTTCTGCAAATGCATCCCCCAAAATTTTTTTAACCTGTTTAAACCACATTCACGTCTTCATTAAGGTTGCACAGGCTTGTCAATGTTCGACTTACTGTGAACTATAAAAAGTGAAAAACATAACTTCATAATGCATGATATTTGAAAGACAATTTAATTGAAATAGATTATAAGCCAGTGTCCAAACCGGCTGATTAGCTAACTTGCTTTCTCAGTAGCTTCCAAGTGAAGACAAACACAGCCTGAGCTACAATAAATAAACACTGTTCATTGCTGTCTTCTGAAGGTGTTATAGTACCAGTCTGATGTTAGAGCTCTTGTTTTTGTAAGATTCATAAAGTCACCATGAAATAATTGTGTTTTATTCTTTTATTCAAAGAATTTGCCTGAACACAGTGGATGAAATCGCACCCATTAACAAACAGATGCAACATCAATATATAACTGTGAAAGTGAAACATTATACAGGCATGTGGATGCTACAGATTACGTTTGAGATTTCTTTTCTTTTATAAATTACCATTAATACTGAACTTTCAAACTGTAGATATATGCTTATAAATAGAAACGGGGGACGGGGGGAGTCAAAATTTGGCAGAATCCTTGCTTATATTTTGAAATTGGCTGCCCGCAGTGTTTGGCTACACAGTTCATTTTTGTTAATTTTTATAATTCACAGCAAGTCACAGCATGTCCTAAAGCACGTCAATTCTGTGAGACCTTAATGAAATCCTGGATGCTGTTTCAGCGGGTTAAGAGACGTTTTGGGAAGGTATTTATGGAAAAGATTTGGGTGACTTCTTACACCTAGTAATAGTTAGCTATATTATTTTTAAAGCTCCAGCACCAACATAAAGAAGCATAATCTTGACACCAAACTTGTCTTGGCTCATCAACTACATATTGGATTAATGAAAAACTTTATTTTCTGCCAAACCATTTGTTTAATAACAAAATATTCACCTACTTTTCATTAGTTATTACTCAACAGGAATAAGAAAACTGTGAAAAACCAGGCTAGAAGTACATGGCACTAATTTAAAAAGGTTCACTGTCTATTCAAGTATGTTTGCAGGAGGAAGATTTTAGTTAATTATGCAAGGACCTTTTCATAAGTTCAGCAGGATTGCCTCTTTGATGCCTTATGGGTGAAAACATTCAACCCAGCCACATCCGCCTACTTACAATAGGGACCATTTTTCATGCACTCAAAACAAAACCACTGAAAAACACTTCATCATTGCATCTAATCCTCTTTACACCCATTTGCTAAGACTGAAGAGGAAGTGCCTCAAAAATGACTGAACGAAGACACAGTTTCTATGCTCTCTAAAAGATTTCTAGTAGCACTGATAACAGATCTCTGTGGTCTTGATGCCATTGAATGGCAGGTGTGCGAACATGAGGCATTTCCCTACCTTTCAGCAGTGGCAGCTGCACCAGCTCAATAGGTTTGTCCTGAGATCTGAACTGAGATGAGCTCTGTGCTCGCTTCTGCTTGGCTTTCCGGACCGACTTCCTGGAGAAGCCGTCCACCTTATCCACGGACGGGGGCGCGGTGGCTGCTGAAGACATAGCCCTGAAACAGCGACAGGAACAGGAGGAAAAAAAAGGAGGAGACAGAGGGAAGAAGTGAGAGAGCGTCCTATTATGAACATGCATGCATCAAGTGATCAAAGACAATGATGAAAGTCAAAGTTCCCACACTGGATCAAAGAGCCTACTATTCTAGCTAGCCACAAATGGTCTCGTTCTCAAATGGTATTAGAGAGGTCAGAAATAAAAAGGCCTCCAAAACAGTTGCCAAAACCTCACCAGTGGCTTCTGCTGTTCCTGCCAGAGCGAAGTCTGCTGCAAAAGCCAGATATAAACTTCACAAACATCCAGGTAGTTACAGAATAGAATAATTCAATCTATACTTGGCAATCTAACAACTTCTGGTCAAGGACGAACTATCAAACAGTATCAGAGAAATGAAAGGAATGCATACAAGTAGGCCAGTAACAGCCTCTAGTGAAGGTAAAAACTCATCTACCCCTGGTTAAAAAACTCGCCGTTCATTTATTGACTTCTTTCTTGCAAGACACCAGCAAGACAAGTATTACCACACGTCAACACAACTTAACTTTTAAACATGTTTGGTAAATTGATATCCTACACTAATATCAAATGTATCATATGTAATATTGATGAGATTGACATAGAAACACGGCTGTTGAACTGCACTGGCTGAATGGGTTCAGTGCTGTAGGCAGACATCATGCCTGTACAAAAAACAGCCTACATGGTACAGTGTTTGTTTTAGGGCATTCTCAGGACACAGTATCAGGTTTCAGACATCAAACAAACCAGCTTTGGGTCTCGAGAAAAACTAAAGTAAAATCATGTCTCTGCTCTTGTGCATCAGGTGAAACTGTCCCATGTTTGCTTCAGTGTTAGAGAGCACTCGAACTTAAAAAAAAATAATAATAATAATAAAAAAAAACGTATTATTATTGCTATGCATGTAATTGTAACCTTTGTAAAGAAAAAAAAAGAAAAAGGTTTAACCGTTTACTGTGGATCACATGGTTACTCAAATAACAGGACTCTGAAACACACTGTTTAAAGGTCTATCTGTGAAACCACAGGCAATCATTTTTCCACAAGTGGTTTGTTTGTGAAATTTTCGAGCGTCACATTTTTTTGTCAACTGTCAAACAAAAGTGAGCCTGCTCTTATGCAGGCCTGCCTCAACCCAACCCAGCTTGTAGCAGTGTGTTATCTATTCATCATGAGGTAAAACTGTCTGCGTTTCAAAGCCTCGCACCATTAACAAGACAGCAACTTGTAAGAAGTTTGCTCTGAAACACAACACTCCCTACAGGTTAAGGGCTAGGATATATGTACAGTGGAGACACTGCAGGGCAGATGAGGTAGCACCACACTGGTCTTTCCCTGGACTGTTAGCTCTTACGTAAGAGCTCAGCGCACATCCCCACAGGCCGCCAGCCCGGTGGGGATTAGAGAGGTCTGGCCTGACAGGAAGTTATCAGGCTTTAGCTCATTCCTAACAGAAAAAGGCACCAGGAGGAAGAGAAAAGAACTCCTCACTACCTGACTATCCAGTACATTGAAGGGTAAAACAGTGTGTGAGGAACATGCTTAAAATAAGACCTCAGACCCTCATCGAAACTCAAACTTTCATTAATTTTGTAACCACATTCAGGACCAGGATTAACAAGCTGCCTTTGCTGTATCTGACTAAACTTCACTGAACCTTATGAAAGTTAGCAATCATGTACTTTTTTCACTTTCTTAAATTCCTTCTCTGGGTGTTGGCAATCAGAGAGGCCTGTAAGTGGCCACATACACCAGGATGTCATCGAAGAACTAGCACCAACCAAGGCTGACTAATGATCCCCTTCCATCAGCTCACTGTCGCCTCTCATCATCTGTGAAAATCTGCACTCAAACAGGCCGCAAAGTCCAGCAGCATTGTTCCTAGGAGCAAACTGAAGTGATTTCACCATGAAAATAACACAGAAAACAGAGGAAATTATGGTGTAATTATTTAATTCTTCTTCTGCTCATTATTATTATTATTTAGTTCAGTAATGAAATAAATACAAGTCATGTATTATGGCTCTAAAACTGTACACTGTGCTTGGACCCAATGATCACCTAACTACAACATTTCACATTTTGGCCCCTAAAAATGCAGAGCTTGTGGTGGCTGATTGCTTTTAACATTTTTTTCATTTAAACAAACTACCAGACCAGTTAAATTTGTACTTTTTACACATTCAAGAATATCCACTATTTATAACAAAATGACTATTTTTTTAAACCCTCCCACACGCGAGTCAGAGTCTGTTCAGTCACAAAACTAACTGCATCAAATCAGATTGGTCAGAATTTGGCAACTGTAATGTTAAGTCTACCACCATAATATGTGAAGCAACAGCAAGTGACAACTCCAAGCATTTTTAGCTTGCTGTGATGGCCGAGTTATTAAAATATTGCTTTGATGGCAGCGATAGTGCTGTCAATAAAGAAAGAACTGGGTAACTAGTGCACATTTTTATATCTGTCTACCACTGTGAAAATCTCACAAGTTTAAGTTAAACCTATTCAGTGAAAGTACACCACCACAAAATTAGCACTAACACCAGAAAATCTCAAAAAGGAAAATGGATTCAATGTGGTTTTTGTTTTCATACTGCAAATTAAATAGTGCCTGAAAATGTGCCTTGTATTAACATGATGGATTTCTTTTTTCAGTTTGCCTCAGTATTAGAGCAATTAATATTGTAAATGTACACTACCTGAGAGCAAGATCGCATAATGGAGTTCTGCCCGATCCATTCAGACTGTGTTTCTTATCACTAGCCACAATATAAAATGTCGAATGTTGCCTAGACTTGCATTTTTGGTTAGGCAGCCATACTCCTGCTCAAACAATGGAGGTGGGAATAGAGCTCCAGTTAAGTTCATGAAACAAAGGTAAAGAGAAAAACAAGAAGAAACGAGAAGAAACAACAGCAAGTTAGCAGCACTCAATAAGAAATTTACAGATGGAGAAGCAGCAGTCCATCATTCCTCATAACTGGGTTTCCGGTATCCTGTCTGTCTCAAGCATGTCTGCCCTGATATAGCAAATCTGTGTTGTCCAGTGCTGATTTTTTATTTATTTTATTTTATTTTTACATTTGCTAGCACTTGATTCACTCCTAAAATTTGCTTTTCTATCAAAGTTTTTTGCAAGGAATACAAACATTTAAATAATTAAACCATTTCTGATGCCTCCAAATGAAGTCAAGTGCATTTTTACTGCAAAGAGAAATTCATGCTGCCAAATTTTTATTAAAATGGCAAGTTTGCTATCTTTAAGGTTATGATAGTTTTTCTGTCCAATGTATGTGTCTATTTTAGGTATTGCTGCAGGGGAATCTCTATATTCTCCTTAAAGTGGAAAGTGAGGATCAAATGCTAAAACTTTAGTAACTTAAACTGAATACAGCCTCAAAAAATGTGTATAAGAATGTGATGGTTAAGATATTCTCTAATAAAAAATATTGTAAATAAGCAAATACAAAAACCAAGGCTACTTCCTGGTGGAAACATCAAGGACAAAACAGGTGACAATCGTCCCACCCTCTAAATTCCAGTTCCTTCTGTAGAGGGATGGGATGGTTCTGCAGAGCCCATTGTCTATAAATTCCAAAGATAAACTAGAAAACCTAACAGTAAGTAGTAGGCTGATAAAACCAAGCCTGCCATAAGAGCTGCTATAAACCAAGCGGACTTCAGAAGCGAACCTAACCCCATGTAGGGAGGTTTTAACTCAAGCGTTGCACATCTCTTAAACTGTTCTCAGACCTAAAGCACTTAGAGTTCCACTTCTAAAAAAAAGGATGTACTGTACACAAGAACTTTTAGTCAAGGTTTTAATTAAGTCTATACATTTAAAGGGAATTTCCACAGATTTGTCTACATAATTCAATCATTGAGATGTAAACAAAGTTAACGAAAGTGGTTTCATGCAAGATTTTCAGCAAAGAAACTTACTGACTTGTTTTCTTTCAGTGGTATGGATGGTAACCAGGGGTAGTGATGTGTACGGTGCAAATATATTCATTTAAAATATTATACAAAAAAATAAATAAATAAAACAAACAACAACAACGAACCTATACGTCTTATGTCTTATGACTCTGAATTTTCTCATTTGTAAGGCACTTTGAATGACAGCAGTGTTTGAAAGGTGCTATATAAATAAACATGCCTTGCCTTATGAGTTGATATTGGTAAAAATACTGCAGCTGTAAAGCTGAAAAAAGGAAAACAAAAACATTTTCTTTGGGTACTTTTTGTCATTAGAATGCCCTAAGTGGATTTACGAAAAATATTATCAAAACTACCGTAAAACAAAGTCTTAAGCATCAGGTAACATATTTATAAATAATAAATTCATATAATAACTCTCTGTGAGGGAGCTCTGAGAGGCACTAAATGCTTCAGACATCTGTTTCCCATCACCACTACTGTGAATAATTTGTTTAGAATGCAGCATTTCACATCAAACCACTCTGAAAGATTGCTTCTTGTTTGTTTTCTTTCATCTTGAATTTTGAAAAATCTGTGGAATTCCTCCATAAAGGTTTTTAAAAATTTTATATACATTTAGTATCAATTATTACATTACACACTAAGTATAGCAGCACTTAATCCTGGATTAGAAAAGGGAAGACTAAATGATTTTTTTTTTCCTACCATACAGAACTATGGTTTAAGATTGATCATGTATTGTTGAGTTTCCACTTGTGAAGGCATGGAATACCCAGATTGTACGTATGAATCATCTGAAGAGAATACAGTTGAAATGTGTTGAACAGATTTCCCTCAGCACCCCTCTGAGAAGAGTTAGTCTTGTATCAAGAAACAACACAGACGTATAAAACCATACAAAAGCAATAACATTCAGTCACATCTGGTGTCTAAGAACAAAATCACTGGAATCCTATTTCATTATGAAACCTGTCCGGTGCTATCAGCTGTAACTGACATTTATTTATACAACTTAAAGTTGAAGTGCATTTGGCCATACTGATAATTTACAGCTTCAGAAAGGTTTTGAATTACTTCAAACTTTTCTTTTTAATTAGAGTAATCAAAGCCATTGACTAACCTGCATTTAAGAAGCACAACATTCATTAATCCAGATTTACATCACCATTTAGTCAAGGACTAGGCTTCATCTGTGTCTGGAAAACTGCCCCAGAGTAATACATCAAGCTGGATCAAAGGGTGAAGCAGAAAGTGATAACAGGCTAACGGCAGGCTTAGGCTAAATAGCTCCTTCTGTATGACAAAACCAAAATAGCACTTAATATATAGCATGGCTGTGTTCAGAAACACAACACAGGCTGAAGGCACATGAGTTGAGAAGGCTCCCTTCCTTGGAATACCACTATGCCATTTTTAACAAAACATTTAAATGAGAATGTGAAGATTCCTGAAGTGCCAAGCATTAAGTTTGCCATGTGAGAGAGAAATGGGTTCTTAGTTTACTACTCAATAGCTAGACTTGTTCAGTCATGAGATAAGAATTCTAAAAATAACGTGAAAGGAGTTCTTTATTGGCCATTTGTGTTGCCTCATATTTCGATTAGAATTTTTTTTAAATCATCCAAATTCAGCAAACACTGTATTTGTACTGCTAAAACAAAAGCTATAACAATATTTTAAATTAAAATATTATAAATTTCATTAAATTCTTTGGTGTCATAGCAGCTAGGCATTATACACAGTAATAAAACATGCCAAGTGATTTAAAAGATTAAAAGACAGGCTATGTTTGAAAAAAGAGATCTTTGGGTCAACTTTGACTGGTAAACGACAAAAGGGATCTATATTTAAAATAACAAACCATTTACCAAAGTGTGTTAAGCTCTCAAGTTTAAAACTTAAACAGCGCTAACGGAAACAGGGCATAAATCAAGCCTTTAAAGTTCCAATGCATTTCTACTAGAGCATAATAAAAATCCCTAATATCAAAAGAATTAAACCTCAATGTGACCTTGTTAGGTCTCGGTGTGGTCAGTCACGGACCTGCAATAAACGAATGCATTTTCTACATAGTGGAACCTTTCACAATCGAAGTAAATTGTGCCAAAACCAGGGGGTCAGCAGTCTTACAGTGAACACACCGCAACTGTCTGAACTGAAATGCATGACTGACGCCGTAGAACAAAAACAGGTGTGGAGACTGTTGCATTCCCAAGAGCCTGTACATCAAGACTTATAAACAACAGAACTGCTTTGTTTACACATCACTGACAGCAAAACCAGTAGCATACGAGATAAAATAAGAAACAAAAATAAGGCTCTGTCTCTAATTATACACTACCTTGGGCTACCCCTGAACAAGGGCAAGCTAGAAAACAGAGATAAATCTTTTCATTTGCAATTCTGATTCAAAGGGGGAAATCTGCTAATATCAAGTACAACCTTTTCACCACAATCATAGGACATATATCTGTCCATTTAAAATGACCACTCTTAAAGTTAAACAACTGATGAATAATCTCACATTACAAAAACACACAAAGTGAAATGTACACCACATACGGGTGTTGTGTTACTGATACCAAAACACTACTACAATATCAGGGCTGATCCTCATATCGCTACATTTTTTTTACTAGTATCATACATACATCGCTGCATGGATCTGCAGGCTAAATGTTAGACTACTTCTCTTCCAATATCTAACATAAATGACCTAAAAACATTCGCAAAGCACATTTTTCTGAGTCAATATACTCACTAGAGCATAAGCATAAAAACAATAATGCAAATTATCCCCACTATTAGCACAGCACAGGGTCCCCCTTCATAACACAATCAGCAGGTGAGGGAAAATGATCATTGCTGCTTAGAATTAAACACATACACAAATGATTTAAGTGTCATCCTGTAACTAGACAGATCTGCAATGCTTATACAAGGCTGTTTTATTGTACTCATAACATGAGGCCTTAAACCCGAACTAGCAGATGAGTGTGTAAAAGTTTCATCACTTGTTAAATTAGTGCAAATATCTTTTATCTAATTCAGCTTCGCTTTGCTCAACAAACCACGTTCAGTGTGAAACTTAGTCTTTTTGTGTGTGGATTACACAATAAGTTTATAGGAGGAAATATGTCCATATAATCACACTATATACTATATTGTCACTTGACACAAACCGTTCTTCTTTGTTTTCACCTAATAGTTGGAAAAACTAATTATTACATCCAACATTTTTCTTCCATTCAGTCCCCTAATAGGAATGGATGTGAACACCGTCAGACATTAGTAAGACAAAAAGATCATTTATTGAGACCAGTAGTTTCAAGCCTTTCTAAAATTATGTTCAAGGCCTAACTGCTTATCTCAAAACTATCATAAAACATGGTCTCAGGTTTCAGGAAGCTTGTTCATAAGAATTTCATGTAATAGCTTTCCACAAGATAGCATTTAGGAATTAAACTCTTGGCATCTGGTTTCCTATCAGCACTAAGTTTCTCTAGAACAGAGCATTTCACATAAAACCAATCTGATTGACCTTTTCTACATCTTAATATAATTACACAAACATTTACAAAAATTCTGCGGAATTCTCCTTTAAGGTGTTTTGTTTTTCTTTGAAGAAGGTTGTGCAAATATATTTTTTTTGTTGATGCAGAATTCTGTCCTCTACAACCCAAAAGAGGAGGTAGAGACTGTTGCATGAAAAGCTCAAATGGTGAGACTAGCTAAGAGTGCTGTTTCTCCTCCCTTCCTAGGTAACTAAAAGCATGCTTTAGGGCAGTGGCTCACAATCCCTGCCCACAAATGCACATTCCACGAAATGCACATGTGGTGTGTGTTGCCTACTCTAGTACGGCTGATTCATTAGACGGATCTCATTCCGTCATTCAGGTGTGTCAGGAAAAAAAGTACTATGAAAATCAGAACTGAAAATAGCTGCTTCAGGGTCACGGTGCTTGCTTACAATGCGGCAGGTCGGAGTAACGCTCTAAGCGACCTGCTGTAACACTTAACCGAGCTAAAAGAAATATTTTAGTAGTAACTTTAAAAAAATCACTGTGATCATCAGGACTCCTCACTATATATTGCCTGTTTTCAACTGAATCATTAGAGAAAGAACAGACCGTTTAGACTTGAATAGCATGTCAACTGTGACTAAATGCAACTTATCAGAACATTTCAGATAATCTAATTTTACCCTCTTCTGTCTGTGCTCCTGTACAGCGTGTGCAGCTAACCTAGTCCTAGTCCTTGCGATGACAACTGAGTGGGAGTTTTCGGGTTATCCAGCAATTCCGTTTCGCTGGTAGCCCTTGTCATGGTCTTCTTATTTTACACACAAACTGCAAATGTTTAGCACACAATGCAAAAAAATGAAATGTGCATATTCACCTCAACCGTCAGCTATCCAATCCAGCTGGGTAGAAGCCAAAAATGTGTAGGACGAAGGTGCAGCTAACGTTACCGTCAACGTTAGCTAACTAACCTTAGGTGGCGACTCGCCTAGCACGCTAATTCGAGCAGCTGTCCGGCTAGCTAGCAAATATCTAGTTAGAGCTCTTGCCCTAAGAGCAACGGCCGTCTCTCCACTTGGTGCGAGTTTCTTGATTTATACAAAGCACAAAATGCCGAAGTGTTCTCGCTAGCTGGCTAGTTAGCTATAAAACAAGCTGATGGTGTTTCCAGCATTGCTATAGCGGGCAGGCTAGCTAGACCGACTGGCTCGTACAGCTAATCCCTCTCGCTACCGTCCCAGCCAGGCTGCGGGAAGAAGCGACATTCGGCTGCGTCCGCCACAGCAAGCTAACCGTAAACGGGACAGAGTAACCGGCTACATCCCCCGGTGTTTTGACGGTTGACGACAGCACCTCTATTCAAGTTTACAGTTACAGATTTTACGAGTAATATCTATCTGTTCTGATAAGCAAACGCTAGCAAGCTACAGTGCCAAGTTTTTTTTCTGTCTCAAAACAGAACGTGAAGTGTAACGTGATGGCAGTTGTTTATGGGACGAGTAGCTGATGATTGGTTACTCCCAACGGCTAGAGGGCAGCGATTGGGCTAAGCTGCTGTCGATCATTTTTATGACCGTTGACACGCCCATAAAGTCAAACGTCGATGACGTCGAGCAGCTGTGGTGGTAGGTTGCAGGGTGAGCGGAGCGGAGAGGCCCGGATGTAGAGGAATGTCAGCGCTCGGCTCTTCTTCTCAGCCGCTCTGGAGGGTCCGCCGCTCGTGTTTCCGACCATGAATGAAGCCGTAAACAGTGACAACAAACACAAATTCACAAATTCGCTCACCGCTGCGCTCTTATTCTTAGAAAAGGATTTGAGGGATTGTATCTCCCTCTAATTACGAAGCCACACTTGGAACAAGGCGTTACATAACACGCTTGACACTAACCAGTGATGATGTTTCGCGTCAGTCATGTCTTGTTTTAATCCTTTCTGATGTCTCGGTATTGATTTACAGTTCATTATCAGCGTTATGCTGAGACAAATATCATAACAGGCAAACGCGAGTAACTGAGTAGCCTCCTGAGCGTACTTTCTGTAGGTCTTCTTCTAAGTGGTATTTGAGTGAGTTTCATTACTAAATCTCGATTTAACCCGAGCATCCAGCATTCACAGCTGATTAAAGATCAGCGCCTCTGTATGCTGATAGTGAATGTAATGTAGCGTCAATTATTAGAATCTTAAACATAGAAACTTAAACCTTACGGAGAATTAACTGAGTGAAACAGGAAAGAAAAAACTGCATACGCTTGCAATCTAATCGCCACAAGGCGGCAGTAGTGTTGTTGAGCACCGTTCGTGAACGTGCCTAAACAGTGCACTGTAACAGTCTATTTCAAAACTTATTATTATAGCGATCAGTTCATTTAGTGTAATATTATGTGAACCATATTGTTTATTAGTGAAAGTGAAAGCACTTACAAAGGAAAGGCATATGTAACCTAATGCCAAATTTGTTTCTGGGGCTCAGTCTAAGTGTAAATCTGATATTGACTGAGAATAAATGTTGCTAAATTCACATTGCAATACACGGTGGTTTCAGCAAATTGTAACTTCATACAGTTTAAAGTAGTGAATGGAAGAAACAACAATCAAAACATTCAAAAGCAATTGTTGATCTTAAAGTGGAATGTCACCAATATTTCAAAATTTCTGGCTAATTTAATGGTCAAGATGTAAACAAAGTAATTCAGAGTGGTTTGATGTGAAATGTTCCATTCTAGAGACACTTTCTGCGTCAGAATTGTTCACAGCGGTGGTGATAGGAACCAGACGTCTTAAGAGTTTAGTGCCTCTGAAAGCTCCCTTGCAGAATGTATTACACGAAATGGTTGTGAATACATTGCCCGATGCCTGAGACATTGTTTTACGATGGTTTCACGATAGAAGTTTGGCTTACAGTGTACATTTTTAAATCCATTCATGGCAGAGGGGTGCATGCAGGGTGTTGCAAGGCAATATAGTACTCAAAGAAAATCAACATGGCATGTAAAAACTGTGTGCACCTTGTAGACCTCACAACCTCTGGTTAAATTATGCAGAAATTTTGAACAAAAAAGGAATTCTCCTTCAAATAACAGGATAGTAAATATTATACAACTGTATATATACCTTATATACCTGTGTTGCTGTAATACAATTACCAGAATTGATGATTTCTGAATAAGGATTTAACTGTTACATTGAAAGTAATTCACCTGCTATGAAGCCAAGTCAAATAAGCTTTTATTCAGCATTTCTGCATGAACACCACAAGATGAATGGAGAGGTTCAGAGAGGGAAAATTCATAGAACAGAATTGTCACCCCCTTACTCGAGTACTTCTAATAACAGGGGTCAGCACACTGCCAGTGTGAACGTATTCTGTGTGAATGAGGGAAAAGCACTCAGTGTTCAATGCGAGGTTCAGAACATCACATCATTTAGGTCTGTTCACTATATACATAGGCTAATGTACTCAAATGCTGCCATATCTTATCTGTGTTAACATAATGTGATGGGTAAGAGAGGAAATATCCCTGTATAAAATTCACATCATACCAGAGTGCGTATATATATATATATATATATATATATATATATATATATATATATATATGTATATATATACGCACACAAAAATGCTGTTCAGCCCTACCTGGCCAAATGTGAAAAACGAACTGCCCCCTTAGCTACTAAATCAGCCAGTTAACCAAACTCAGTTGACTCTTGGGTTCAATTTCACTAGACACACCCAGGCTTACTTTGATTACTACCAGACCTGCTGAATCAAAACATCACTTAAATAGAACCTGTCTGGCAATGTAAAGCAGCTAGAAGGTCTCAAAAAGCAGCACATGATGCCACGTTCTAAAGAGATTTAAATACAGATGCAAAGCAAAGTCATTGAAACCTACCTGTCTGGAAAGAGTTAGAAAGCCATTGCTAAGGCTCTGGGACTCCAGCAAACCACAGTAAGAGCCATTATTCACAAATAGAGAAAGCTTTGAACAGCAGTGAACCTTCCTAAGAGTTGCCGGCCTACCAAAATTTCACCAAGAGCGCACTGATGACTCAACTAGGAGGTCACAAAAGAACCCAGATGAACATCTAAAGAAAGGCAGGCCTGACTTGCCTCAGTTAAGGTCAATGTACATGATCTCACAATAAGAAAGACACAGGGCAAAAAGGCCATCATGGGAGAGTTAAAAGATGCAAACAGGACAATAATCTGAAGCACACAAGCAAGTCCACCTCTAAATGGCTCAAAAGAAACAAAATTAAGGTTTCATTCATTCAAAGTATTTATTTAGCTTGGATAAAACTAGATAATTTACTTGTTACCACATTAAGTAATTTTTTAAAGTAGATCTGATGAGCCACTTTTTTTTCTAGACTAAGTTGACATAAGATTACAACTTTACAATAAAGTATTCTATTATCATTTATGATGTGGTAAAGTATTATGTGCATTAAAGTAGATGTCTCTTAGGTATATTTCTACCAAGAATTGGAGATGAAAGTACTTAAACTCCTCAAGTGTCAAAAGTAAAAATACTAACATAAATTTATCAAAATAATAGATAAATCAAATTTGTACTTAAAAAAAAAAAACATTGGTTAATTCTGCACAAGTTTGAGTTTAATCAGGTCACCTATCTTATGATTGTGGGAGCTGATTAAATTTAAGGCAACATGTCAATGTCATGTTGACAGAAATATCTACAATGAGTGACTCCTACAAAAGAACAGAATAAAACAATAACAGATTTGCTTTGTCCCACCTGCCAAAACTATTTTGTTCTCGATCCACGGGCCAAGGCCTTCACAATAAACACAGTGCACACAATGTGTGTGAATGTACTGGTTCCTACCTCAGCTGTCAGATATGTCCACTCCTTCTCCATATCAGATCAACCGCAGCCCAAAAACAGAAGTTATCAGAAGTAAAATCAAGCTTCCAACTGCTTGGCTTGGGCGTGCTGAGTGAAAATGTAGCATGCACGTTAGCTTGTGTAATTGGAGTTTTTTGAGAACCAGTTTAGGGCGCCACTGATCTAACCCACAGAAATTCCACACATTAACCAGGTGACAGCGTCGTGTAAAAAGTTAAATGACAACAGGAGTTAAGATACAGCAAGAGCAAAGACACACAGACTTTAGAGACAGAACAGAGAGCTGTTACATATTTAACTGTTCAGAGTGCTGTCTGTTCTGTGGGTCAGCTATTTGTGCAGATTCTTTAACCAAAATGTTCAACTGGTAAATGATTTAAATGTGCCTCTTACCTTCTACAGTGGCTTATATATGATGTATTAAAACAAAAGTGAGGTGATTTGTACCATAAACATGAAAATTGCACATGAACTGTTCATTAATGATGAAAATACTATATTTACATACTATACACTCCCTTTTAAATATATGGTGGATGTGGCATCATGTTCCAATGTGGAGGACAGAGATAATCTTAGAAAACGTAGCAGTCAAGGCATTGGGTTACTGATATAGTGAAACAAAACAAATGGATCATTAGAAAAAAGAAATAGCTGCTTGATTTAAATGACTGAGCAGTATTTATAATTTACAAGTAGCTGTTCAACTGTGGGCTACTGACACAATTCCTAATGAGATCACACACAGTACTACAGATGTAGAAACTCAAATATTGTCTTTATTTTGGGCTAGTTTACATAGCGAGTGATGTATTCAGTGTACACTGAGCTTGTAAAAGTCCAAACAAGCAGGTTAAGGTTTAATCCATTAACAAAAATAAATAAACCCACTGAGTGCCTAGTGTCAGGTTACAGCATTTTTATGCATTTGAGAGTCTGTACTGTTTTAGATCAAACCACAAGTTGTTTTATTCTCTTCAAGGACACGGGGTAGGATCATTTTTAATCCATATCAACAGCAGTGCACATTAAAAGCAGCATATTTGTCTCTTAACAATTAATCAATTATGGCTTATGTTTACACACAAGCAAATACAGATGAAGTCTTTCTGTAAGTCCTGGACTACATACTGGAATAAGTAAATTACCATTATTTTAGGAAAGTGTTATGGTCAAAATGTATGAAGTGTAATCAATAACTCACTGGCCTGAGGAGTAGATTAGAGAGATCTGAATCAGTCTTAAAAAGAATACTCCAGCATAACATAGCTTTGATTATCATGGACAATAATTTCCCTGTACTTGGAAAAGAACGGAAAATTCGATTGAATCACATAAGTGGAAATGCACAGCTATGGAATTTCTGGGCCTAATATGATAACTGTCACTATACTGTGGCCAATACCAATATCAAAAATCAATACTTAAAATGAATTTACATTAATTAATACATTTGTTTTACATTATATAGTAATTTTACATTATTTAGCAGACCCTTTTATCTAAAGGCATTAAAAACAGAAGAAGAACAAGAAAATGTAATTAACTGACCACAACAATGTTCAAGATCATCATGACATATTCTATTGTAAAAGTCATCACAGAAACACAATAAAAACGTTCACACAAAATAAAAGTGTCACCTATAAGTTCCTTTGTTTGACTTTCAAAGTGAAGCTGAGCGTGTCTTCACTTTTTGCCATAAAATAGTGGCACACACTGAGACCTGAACACACAGACAGCAGGCTAGTAGGTTCATCTGCTTCATACAGGCTATGAAATGTCATCTCTTTAAATATACACTAATTAACTTCATATCGTACGCTGGAAGACCCCACTGAGCCATCAGTCCTGATGAATCGGAAACATTTCACTCGTGATACAACATGAACTTGGCTCTGTCTTTAGTAACAGCTAAAATAAAATTGGAGGATTCATGATAAAAAAGGTGTATAAATATGTAAAAATATCATGAAAATGAAATGTGTTAATTAAAAAAGACAAACTATCCAACTAACTAAGATCCATTTTGGGATGAAAGTTGTTTTTGTGTCATTATTCATTAAGTTACATGATCGACAGTCGGCAGTGATTACAGGAAAGGGCACTACAAAGGTGCTGTGGGGTCTAGAAGAAGTGGATTTCCCCCCACTGACGAACAGACATGCTTCTGCATATCGTCTGTCAGAAAAACCTTGTATCTCCGAAATGCTGAAGTCTTAAATTTTAATGTAATGATAAAATGTAATTTTTCTGCAAATAGTATATTGGCCTTCGATATACTGTGCATCCGTAAAAAGAAGTCAATGGGTGTGTGCCAGATGTTTGTGGTTTGGGAATTTTTCCAAGTACAGGGAAACTTAGTTAAAATGATAGCATGAAGTAACTACATGCTACAGATTCAACAAATAGAGAGTGGGTGGAAAAAACTGGCATAATAATAACAACAGGGAAAAATAATCTATTGAAATTTCAAAACACTTACATGGACTGAGACTACAAAGACTCTTCGCTAACCTATGTTTTTACTCTGACATTTTAATACTTCTGCTCAAACACTGGCAAGTCCAGGCATAAGCTAAACTGCCTGTGCTTTTCTGCTCACAACTACCTTCTAGATGGCTGACGGAATATGTGGAATACACTGTACTGCAGTATGGAGTATTCATTCACTATTTGTCCAGGTGCTAAGCATCATAACAGCCACACAAAGCCATAAACCGCCATACAATCCAGATTATACTGCCCTGTACTTACAGGTAATTTAAACAACTTTATAAAACTGTGAAGAAAATGCAATTCCTTTAGATAACGAGTCAGCTTTAGCCTATGCAAAAACAGCGTAGTATGAAGTATAGTTTAACTACTGTAAACTACTACCGTATCTTTGGAACAACACATTTCTTGGCTTGTTTATCAGATTCCATATCTGTCCACCCAAAATGAATGGCCATCTATACGAGGTCATGCATAGAGCATTCATTCCAACAGGAAGACCTCCTCCCCTAGTTCCCTCAACACTTTACCACTTATTGTGAGATGCAAAGTAAACTAAACAATGGCAATGAGACTGGAGTTTAAGAAGCACTGCACAAATGTTTTCTGAATGACCACCCAGGACAGCTCGTAACAAACTCCATTCATCAAAACACTCAATTCCCATCTCTGTGCTCAGCTGCTCAGAGGAGGAAACAAGCTCCAGGAAAGAGCTAGGACGAGGAGATAATCTCAGCAAGGCCTTGAGGGGCAAGCTATCAGCACTGTATATGTTTGTATACATGAGTTTAACATGGGCAGGCAGAAGTAAAAGTGCTCGTGCTCAATTCAGTGGGAAAGAGGCCAACATATTGTTAAGAAAGAGAGAGAACACAATGGTGCAGGATGGGTGTAGGTAGTATGGCTGTTGAGGAGACGGGTGGAGATCAAACAAACAGGATCCACACATGACAAAGCTGAATGTTGTGAACAGAGTAGATTTTGCCCGTTCAGAAACATTGCGGAGTTCCGTTCTGTCGCCTGGGTCTTTTACAGCCACACATCAGAGACACAGGCTGCGTTATACTGTAGTTGATCTTATGGATTTCTGCACATCTCAATCTGAAGTTCAGGACTACATTATGGGTCTGAGAGGTAGGACATAAATCCTCTGATGATGACCAGTCCATCATTCTTATTTTAGAGAGGTGCAAATCAGAAACCTGATCTAATACTAATGCCATTTATTTGGCAAACACAATGACACAATGAAAATTTGGTAAATTAAAGATTAAAACAAAACAACAGCAATGTCAAGCAAGCAAAAAAAAGAATTTCAATAAAAAACAAAAAAGTGGAAATGAAATAACTAAGAATTAACATATTTTAATACTTCAAAATTCATTTGCTTTAGTGGTTTCTTTGTCTTGCGCTACTAGCTTGGAAATTAACAAATTTGTGATTAAAATGGACCAAATCCAAGCCTTAATTAAGTATGGAGCATTGGCAGAGAGGGACTGATGATGTATTACTGGCTAACACAGAAGCTGAACTGCTTCTTCAGGAAAGGTTCAGGTAGTCAAAGAAGAGGGGCACCAGGAAGATGCAGCAGAAAGCCACCGTGCCGTACACCAGGAAGCGATAGGTCAGTTCCACGTTGGCGTTCTGCCGGGCCTTACGCACGTCGTCGGATGGCACACCAAACAGTCGGCATGCTAGCGGGATAGCCACAGCCTTCATGACGGCTCGTACAGCCAGCAGCACGGCCACGCCCACCAGAAGCCGCAGAAGCGAGCGTCCCAGCAGAGCTCCGTCAATAATGGGCAGTTTCAGGGGCAGGGAAGACAGTGGAGGGTCTGGCTGCAGGCCCAGCTGGTGGTTCATGTGGCAAGCTAAAGCACCTCCGGCCCCAGTGGCCAGAGCCTGAGCTGTGTCCCCCCGTGATGTGCTCCAGGAATCCAGGGAGAAAGCAACGAGGGCCAGGCCGATGTGCAGCAGCAGGATGACCAGAGGAGCGGAGCTGCTGGACAGATAGAATGTGTCGATGTCATCCAGCACAGGATGAAAGGCAGCCAGGATCAACAAGCTGTAGAGGAAGCCCACGATCACCTCCTGAAAGACACAAGTGCTGGGTCAGAGAAGTGTGGGAATATGAACATTCATGAATGAATGAATGAATTAATCAATGAATAAAAAAATAAATAAAACCATTTCAGGTTGACTAACCCATCACAATGAGCTTTTCTGAGTATATCGTATATCGTATACGTAGTCTCAACGTTTCCACCATATAAGTCAGCTAACCACATATACTTCCTCAAAAGAGGCTTAGACCAGGTTCCCCTGTGGCACAGATGTGTAAGGTTTCACCCTATGGCCAGATTTTGTCTGTAACCACTAGGATAGTTAATGTTACTGTGCGGTGACAGAGGTGGTCCCACCCGCCGACCTGGTCTGCCTGGCATCCAAGATGCTGTTCCATCGGCTAAAGTTTGCTAATTTTACTCCATGAAATGAAGATTAATATGAAACAAGCTGTTAAATGATTTGATGTTCCACCAAGAGGCTCCTACTTCTGTAACTAAACAGTACCTAATGACATAACCTAGACTGGATGATGTCAGGGTGGAACTGCTTGGCATGGGAAAAAAAATATTGCCCAACTCTACACACACAAAAAAGATCATCACAGAACATCATAGATCTTCATCAACTGAAATAAAAAAAGAACTAGCTCATCGCAGCACCATAAATTAGCATATATATTACTCTGCAAAGCTAATTTATGGTGCTATGTGTGTGTATATATATATATATATATATATATATATATATATATATATATATATATATATATATATATATATATATATATATATACATACACACACACACATATACATATATACATATATATATACACACACACACACATATACATATATACATATATATATACACACACACACACATATACATATATACATATATATATATATATATATATATATATATATATATATATATATATATATATATATATATATAAAAATAAACACACACGCTGTATTAGAGTATGAGGATGGCTATTGTCAGCATTTAGCTTACACAGCCAGGGAGCTGAATCGGTATGAAAGCAGCTTGTTTGCTTAGAACAAACAGGATGCCCAGATAATTTACAGGAAAATGGGTCAGTGAGGCACAAGGTGACAAACAGCACAGACCCAACATTTACATCAGCGCTAGGTGCTGAAAGCCCCTTGCTGAGAGTTCAATGTAGCTGTAACAACTTAAAAAAAAAATAAAGAAAGAAAAAAGAAAAAAGCATCTGGCAGACAGGATTCAGTCTAAATAGAGAGCGCCAAAAGGATCTGGCAGTAGAGACTGACAGACTTGGCTGCAAACACATCTTAGCCCTTGTGTGTGTGTGGTACACTGTTTTAGCCTTAGCATACATGACTATTTTCAAATCACTTCTCTGTTGGGTGTGAGATTCCACAAACGCCAGAGAGACCACACTACACACACATGCCTTACTTTCCTTTCATTCCTCCCCCCACTTCACCCTCAACACTCCCCTCTTTCTGACATAACAATAATGGTCAGAGCCAAAATACAAATGAACCACTGTGTGATCCCTTGGTGTACTCATTCCACTGGTCACACCACACTTGAAATCAACTGAACAACTCCTGTAAACAGCTGTCAATTTAAAACAGCATTCAGTTTGAAATCAACGTATGGTGGCACTTAAATGTACATAATAATTCTTATTTACTAGTCCTGCTTAGCTTCACAAGTTTATATAACTACAAACAAGAAATAACACAAAAAGGCATGTGTGTGTCCAGAATGATGAACAGAGGCTAAAATGACTGGCTGGAGTTATAATAAACTGAATATCGTCATTGTCTGTAGAAACGGAAGTATCTTCAAAATGCTAACTTTATTTTTAATGTAAGTTGACGCAAAGTGATTTTATTCTACGCCATCTGTCCATTCCTTATGAAATTATCATGGGGTAGCTGATGTGTTCAAATGAAGAAGAAAAAGTTAAAAAAAAAAAAAAATGGAGGGAAAAGGGAGATAATTTTATTTTTACAAATAGAGAATTATAGTATATTATTTGTCTAGTTTAGAGTATTTAAACCTGCATTAAGTTACCACTTAACCACAAATATTCCCACGAAAAGTGATTCCAATGTAATTTTTTTCAAACTATAACATACATAAAATAACAGTGTTGAAAAGATTTCATTAGATGGATGCTATACATGAACCACTTTTGGCTTTTCAAAGAATCTTTCAGCAGATGGTTCTTTAAAGAATCACTTCTGTACATTAGATGTATAGTGTAAAGAACCTTTTTAAAGTTTGAAGAACCTCTGCATGATCTTCTATGACAAACAAACAAGGATTTTTCCTAGAACCGTACATCAAAGCCACAGAACAATTTAGAAACTTATTTTAAGTGTTCACCACTGAGACACAGACACTAGGACCACAACAATTCATGCAAATGCCTTTTTTTATGAAGACTGTCTCCCTGGTCTGAGCTGGGAGCAAATGTTGAATATAAACAGAGTTCCTGCCAGTTCCTGAAATAATTATCTGCCTGTCATACCAACTTCCTGTTTTTTGCTCTCTCAAGGCAATCTGGTCTTCCTCTTCATGTGGGCTACATTTCTCCCTTTTTAACATCAGCTTACTTTTGTCTGCCTTACTCTAAACTATTATTCATCATCTCACTCTTTCTTTCCTTTTTCCTGTGACATCATGTTAAGCTGAGCTTCAGCAGCTTTGGCACTGTTCTGATCCTGTCTGCCGTGAAGAGTATGACTCACCGGTTCACTCCTGCTGTCAGATCTGGCGTGATGTGTGTTCAAGGTTTGCAGGAGATTACAAAATGACCTTCAACACCTGAGGAGCCATTATTACCTGATGCCAATTATGTTCAAGCAATATGCTCACAGTGGGGTAAACAAAACTGTACAAGGCAGAAGGATAATCAGTCAGAATCTGCTGACAAGGTGGGCCTCATGAACTCACAGCTGTGACCAGGAACAGTAACCAGAGAAAGACAATTTTTCACTTAATGTGCAGAAAAAGAGTCAAAGGGGGAAGTAGAGTCTGATACATCTGACAGATCTTTAACCGTAGCTTGGACACCTTTGGCAACTCTCAATTACATATACCAAACCACAGACGGTCCTAAAAGTCTGTAAAACTTTTCTGAGTTTACTTTTTTGCAATGCAACCAGTGGCTCAGTTCCAGCAAGTTCTCTTCTGATAATGGCCATAACTGAAGAGAAGTCCGAGAGCTGATTGCTTCACTCTCTCTGACAAATCACACAGCACTTCAAACTAGAGGTGCATAGATATAGAAACACCCTGTGGCCAATACCAATACCACTGCAGCAATGATTTACATTTCACATTATGTTTCATACAGTTCACACTATATTCCATATATGAAATGTAGTTATCATTAGATAGTCTTAAACTGTAAAGATGTATCATTGACTAACTTCACTTACCTATGATGCAGCTAATCCAGATATGACAATTACTGTGAACATTTACATATTTTGTGTTAGTATTTTACATTTTTATTTATCAGGCACTCTTATTCAGAGCTGTAACAGTAGATGAAAGTAGTCTGACATGTCAAGCTTTTACACTTACTAGAATAGCTGCATATATGTATACTCTTATTGACATAGCAGTGGCTTTCTCGCCTGAACGTGGAATCGAACCTTCAAACTTCTGAGTACAGAGCAATGTTATCCACTATTCTATCCTTTTGAATGAACTGAAAAGAATGGAAAAAACTGTACATAGCAGAAGGACGGATTAGTTATTCATTTTCCAAAGTTTAATTTGTACACTCTTTACTTTTGTGCACCCTATTGCAACTTTAACTCTTCCATGCTTAAAAACAATGACATATAGCTTTCTGTATGTTCTCTCCACAAAAGCTGTTCCCACAGCTGTCACTGATATTACACTACTCTTCAAAGAGACACATCACATTCACACAAGCAACTGCCCAAACACACATTAACTGCCTTGCAAATTTCTTTCTCATTTACATCTAAAATGGCTAAAGGAGACATTTCTGAGGGGTTAGATTTAAGGTAGCAGTGCTACAGTTTGACATTTTCACTAGGAAAAAATTTCATGGTATCACGGTATTAAGCAACTACTTTGAAACTGTAGAGTGGCTAAGATGCTGTCACTGGGGTGGTAGCTTCAAAAGGTATGTATTTAGTAACTTTGGTTAAGGAACATTATTGTACCATATTTCACTGTAATTGTATTGTTTCAGCTGCACTGACTCCACACGCCCTGCCTGCACTCTTAGCTTTTCGCTTAGTTTTTCTACTTAAAAGTATACAGTTACAAAAAAAGATACTAATATGTCTAATAAATGACTGCAGTACACCTTAAACAGTATTTAAAGCTTTCCCTTTTGAGAGATAGGCGACAATCAAGCCACACTCTTGCTTCAAATCTGAAAAAAATCCACAGCTATTTCTGTCCATCCAGGATAACTCAACACTATGGGTCTGTAAGGATGTACAGGTCTCAAGAAGCCATTAGACATAACTGCGTATTTGAGATCTAGAGTGAGGTTTTATGGACTGATGAGTAAATTTGTGGGTGGGGAAAATATGCCTGCAGATTTCTTTGAAAACCGAGCAAGTCTACCAAAAATCAGTGGAAGCTGTAATAAAAGCACAAGTGTGGACACATTAAATACTGAATAAATCACACTATATTTAGTGGCAAGAGCTACAAATTACATTTAGTAATAATTTATATTAAAATAATGATTCACCACACCATCCAAATTTACAGCAGCATACTCACAAATTTGATTTATTTGTGAACCATTCCTGCAAGATGGCAACACTTTCCAGTGTAACATCCTAAACAGTGCTCTTCTTACTGGCACAGACAGTCTATAAACAGAAGATACGTCAACTGCAAGAACAAAACCGAACGTAGGCCAAGCGTGTCACCATCATTAAACATCTGCTACAGTGCAGCACTGATGACTTACAGCCAGCCTGTGCTCACAGCTGCCTGTCTGCATCACTGATTTCACACATAGCCATAGCACTGATCGTCTCTGGCTCCCTCGAGAAAGGGACATCAAGCTAACAATCAGAGACCTACTGCAAAAAAACAGCCAGCAAAATCAGTGCCGTGTTAGTGCAGTAGCCTGGATGCCACTGAGTCAACCATGATGACTCATTAATCTACAGTTTTAGCTTCGGAGCACGCACATTGACCCAGTGGGGTCCCGTCTGCGGAGGTGGAAGAGATAAGACAGTTCTGAGTCAGTATGATTTTGATATCTGTTTCTTTGTGGTTTGCTCCTATGCAATATTTCAGACCCTCTTTTTTTAAAAAGCTGATTCAAAACTGGTTCATTTTCCATTAGCAAGCACTAGTGTCTTGGCTGGGTCAAGGAGCACACAGTCATGCATGACCTGGTGCCTATGCAAAGCTGTGAACAAACACAGCCTAAACAAAAATAAAATGGTGCAATGCTGAATGTTTCATAGACAGTTGGTCACGACATTGCTCTTTAAAACTATCAAGACAGATCAGGTCATGTTACAAAAGCCTATATAAAAAAATTACTGTGAGGTTCACACGTATGCACTGGACTTCAAATGTATGCACTGAATGTTTTACTTACCAACACAGAATGCATGCCCATGTAGATTCTGCTTATGCATACCAGGAAGCTCCAGCATATGGCCACACTTAGTCCAAAGGGGAAAGGGTACTGTGAGAAAGATAAAGAGGGGAAGATGGAAATGCTAATGAGGATATTATACAGTACCAGCTAATTAAAACACAGTATTGCTTTTCAAACACTATGGCCCATCTAAGTTTATTCAAAGACAGCGTTTAGGACTATGTGTTTACCTTCTGTTGTGCAAATAATGTACTAAGCTGATAGGTTGCTTGTTTAAACACATTTCACATTCCAGCTCTTTACAGTTTGGGCTTCATAAATGCGTTATGATAAAAACATTTCACATCGCAGTAATCAGTTCAGATATAAGCCGTTTTCAAATTTTTCAGCAAGGCAGTACTGATCTAAGCAGAACTACGAAGTAAAATGCGTCAAAGAGGAAATGAAAGCCAAAGAGGCTTTGGCCTTCCCAGGGGTGTACTGATGTAGTGATAAGACACAGAACAACAGAGCAAGTCTGTTTTCCCGAAAGTGTCACAAGATTGCCCAAATTGTAAGATGGTTGAAAGTACACTCTGACAGTAAAGACATTCTCAAGAAACAGGGCCAGTTAGTTTGAGAGAGTAAGATACTATATAAGCTAAAGGTGGTCTTTTATTTATCAGCAATTTTTTCCTCAAGGCTTCACTGAGTTAGGGAACTCACTCACAACAGCAGACTTTTAAAGCTCAGAGGAAAATTAGGAGTTAAGCGGGTGAAAAAACAGATATGTGCAAAAATATTTTGCATTTTTGCAGATTAAATCTGTGAATTTTACCCTAAGTAAAGTCCAGTTTTTGCATTAATGATCACAACTGCCAGCACTATGTATAATTTGAGGATGTCTCTCTCTCTGGTGGAAATGTGTAATTGCATGCAACATGTGGAGGAACATTTCGTAATGTGGGTTGAGCTTTGTACCCTAACAAGTGGATGAATCTGACATTTGCAACCATGTTGACAGAGTATCAAAAGAGAACTGAGTCAAAACCTAGCGAAGGATGTGTCTTCCAAAGATGTGAGAGAATTATCTACTATTGTCATCATATCTTTTTCAGTATAATGTTAATTTGATTTGCATTTGAGACCTAAACATCGAGCCAGACTTTCTTTTTGACTCTGTGCATGTGATTTAAGTATGTAAAATATGTATGACATGGTCCAAAAAACTCCAACCAGACATCACTGACTTTTAAATTACTATATTAGGCTTTACAGGGTGACTCACAACAGCGCATGCCTGTTTTCCACTTGACCCTAAATTATGTTATTTCTTTGTTTTGACAAAAAAAAAAACTTAGTGCTACTTTAATCACACTTATTCATATGACAATTAATTGTCAGCTAAAATTTCATGATCATGACAGATATGTACCTATACAATATGTTCAAATTATCGATGTGGCAATGTATCATGACTTCCACGTCAAGTTACTTTTCTTACCACAATATAACATGTTTAATAATTGTTATCTTACTCTGAAGCCATGCCATCTGCAGCAAATGCAATTCTCATGCATCTAGGCATCATTCGTTAGATTTGCAAATTACTAAGACAACTGTGGCCTGTCTCACAAAGCAAGTTCGACAGAGACAGGGTTACTGATGAAGGTTCAGCTTCACAAATGGAACAGTGGTTAAATCGTTTTACAAAAGCAGTTAACAGCTTTCTCTGTTAACTCAGGTTTAGATACTTAAAATTATGATTAATCCTTGTGTAGGTGCACATGAAAACAAAGAAATCTACATAAATATGAAGAAAGGAAAGCATTTATAGCTGTAAAAAGCAAAGCTGTTAGTGCTTACAGGAGCAATAATTACTTTATATTGTTAACATCTAAGTTGCATGATTTGCTTCCACTGCCAAAAAACAATATTCTTAATGTCACTGATGTCACAAACATCACGAAATTAAAAAAAAAGTCATTTGAGGCTATCTGTCTGACATCTGTCAGTCTCTATTAGGTCAGAAGCTCAGTCAAAGAACTGTTTATGATCCGTAATCTTGAACTTAACCTGCCCTAGAGCAGGTTAGGTGTGCAACATAAGTTGCCATGGCAATGTACCCCAGTAAAAAGTGATCCACTGTTGTGAGACAGAAAATCCAGGGTAAGATTGAACAAAGCTTAAAGTTAGCCAATTAGGTTAGAAATCCTGCTTCGTAAGACAGGCCCCTGATTGTGAACCTGCATAACCCAAAAAATCCAACAATTTAGCTATGTTTTGTGTCTAATTTACTGCCATATTGTATAGTGATGCTTGTATAGTGATTTGCATCATATTGTAAGGTTCACAGAACAAAAATGTGTTTCTGGAAAAATGTCATCAGCAGCACCTCACAGATCTATCAAAATGCTTCTTTCTTCATGTAGACTAAAATAAAGCTTGTACTACACACAGGGGTGTAGCCAATAGTTCCCGCTCACGCGATCACACCCACTGGCAGGATTAAAGCTAGCCTTGGCTTAGACCACTGTTCCTCCTGTTTCTGAAGTTGAGTAAGCATAGCTATTAGAATCCTTACCTAAGCCAGTCTCTCGCAATGCTGTGTGATTTCTGCTCTTATATTCATGGCCAGAAGTGGCTAATCATAAATTAAATTAATATGAGAAATGATAACAGTAGCTGCTGATACTGTATTAAAACCCAAGTTCAGGACTTTAATTACTGCAGTTGCAAAAGCAGCATGAACAGAGCCAAGACCTGCATGGTGGGCATTGGTGTAAATTGATATCTAAAAACAGGTGGCACAGTTAGGCTAGGCAGTGCCACTCCCTGTGCCAGTCTAAACTTCACTGGGTGACCAGTGTGCCATCTGTCATCTACCCAGCAAAACCCAGCTATACTGCAGTGTGAGTCATAGTCTTTAGACCAGGGGCTTGAGGAAAGTGTAAGCTGTGTTATTAAATTTGCAGGTGGTGAACACAGAATGTCTATACCAGAGCGATAAAAAAGAAAGAAAGAAAGAAAGAAAGGAAGAAGGTGAAACAATGACCCTGGGCCATTGTTCTTGACATCCTGCTATTCTTATGTTCTACAGAAGTACATGAATGATAGATTATGTCACCTCTACACTAGCTTGGATGATGCAAATTTAGATAACCGACTCTCATCAGCAGAATTTTCACACTAAATATATCATCGATATTCAAATTTAGTCATGAAGTGCCACGCGTAAGCAATACAGAGTATCACCTTATAGCTATACTCTCTACTGGAAAGTAGATCTTATGTACTGGAGTTTCTTTGTTTCATGCCTTTTTTGCCAGACTGACAATCTTATAATCTTTACACTTCTTTAAATAAACAAAATATTCAATAACATCAAACATTGGCTGAAGGCTACTTAACAAAAGGGGCGTCAATCACTTACATGGCCATGGATTTACTATAAAGTTCGTTTTGGTTAGCCCCCCCAACTGCTATTCTTTCTCCTTCAGAGGAATAAATTCAAGACTCGCATGCAGATGTTCAACAGCACAGTGTATTTTAAATAATCTGTCAGCTTCTTCTGAGACAAACAGTTGGGTAGAGGCATTAGAATTGCTGCAACTTCTTTTCATACAACTCAGGTAATTAAATAAACAAACACCAGTTTGCAGTGTTCTTTAAACGGTCATACGGCTAGTATGCCAGAGGAGAAGCAGCACTTGCAGTACAGCATGATTGTTCTGAATTCTCTTGGTCAAAGATCATATTAAAAGATTACATAGTTACTGTAGTGCAGTCTTAAAGGCACCTGCATATCTACAAGCAGCATCAGTACAAAGCGTCTCCCTCCAAACACTGCCAGGTTTACCCTTTACTCATTGAACAGGGACGCTCACTATCTCCTCTATGACCTCGGTCAACTCTACTGACTGCAGGTTGTCCAGCAGATCAGAAGACACCCACTGTTCTCACAATACCGCCTTCCTAGCATAAGCTCTATCTTCTCATCTGCTCTGGGTGACACAGTGGCTAACAGTTTTATTACAACCAGTAGGTCAGCGCTGAAAACACTACTATTGTGACACTACTGGACTACGTATCATTAAATAAACCTAGCAACTTTTTTTTGCCAGTTTAATGTTTGAGAGCTTTAAGGACCCATACCTTACATTTTCTGTGCATTTTATTTTTGTGTGGTTTTATGCAACAATACAGTTAATTTCTACAATACTACTTAACAACCTCTCTGCATCCCTTTTGACTGAACAGGCTATTTTATTAATGTGCCTCTAAGACTGATATGTAAATGACCTCTGTTCTGATTGGCTGCACCTAATTCAAAAATGTAATGTAGTCTTTAATACTCTAACCTGAATGGGCAGGCCTAAACTGCTGCAGCCTAAATAGGTGGATACATGTAATGCGCCACCACAAAAACAACTTGTCCAAACTGGGCTGTTTTTGCAGCGTAGCTCCCATATATGGACTGCGGAGTGTGTTCTAAAACTTTAATGATGTTTACATAGTGCATCAAACTCTCAAATGAGGGACAAAGTGAGAAAAATTTGGTTTTCCATGTTATGTGCCCTTTTAGAAACACATCAGTACATCATGAATCAAAGGGCTGTGAAAGGAAAACCACCTCTGACATTGTTAATTTAGGACAAAATCAGCTGCTGTGATGATGCAGGGCTGATAAGCATCTTAAGGTCACAGCCAATGTATTTTTCAAAGGCTCCACCGAAGGCAGGGCAGGAGGCCATCTGTCAGGCCAGTGAACGTGCTTGACTTTCCTGCTGATCTCATTCGTAACTTCATTGGTCACACTGGTTGGGCAAGCTGCAAAATGCATTACCCTTATGATGTATGAACACATCAAGAAGTATGATTAGACACCTCTAGCACTTCTGAACACCTAATGAACCTAATCCAGCACCAGAGCCTACTTTTTGAGGTCTGCATGTGTCCAAGTTAATTACAGTTCTTTCACCAATAGTAACTGCCTGTGGTTAGACTGGTGGCATTAAAATGGCCCTGTGGTGGTAATGAAAGAGCTGTACACATTTCCTAAAAATCACAAAAACAGGATCTCAGTGTTTGATCATATGTCTTCCTGCTGCATTCATAATCAAAGCTGCTGATCTAAGTTAATATAAATGACAGGCATTTCCAGCTGAGTGGTATGGGCTAGTAAACAAGATTTAGAGACACAAAGCACTACATGTGGTCAAAGCATACCTCCCACCGGTTGTAAGTGAGCAGAAAGAGGCAGAAAGGGACAGAGGTTCCGGTCATGGCATGCACAGACGGCATGCTGTACTCAAAGTTGTAGAAGACCTCCACTTTAACCACGGGCGGGGAGGCTGGACGTGTCCATCCAACGAGGTCTTTGGTGGACTGTCCGAAAAACAGAACCCAGACCCACACCACGATGACCTGCCGGCTGACATAGGCATCGACATTCCACATGAGGAAGGGGAAGAAAACAATGAAGAACATCTCATTGCCCAGTTCAGTCCCAACGGTGAAAAGATAGAACAGGAACTTATTCTCGATGATAAACTCTTGTCCAACATCCCCAGTCAATGAGTTCTTGCGGAGGGGCTTCACTCTGCCCCTCGACTCTCCTTTTTGGCCACCAGTGCTGCTGCTGATCTGCTCGGGGCCATCAGGCAGTCCAGAGCTGCTTTTGGTTCGTGCTGCACTTTCTCCGTCCGGTGTGTCCGTACCAGACACCGCAGCTGCTCCATTGGGAGAGCCGTGCACGTCTTCGTTCTGTCTTACACTTGTATTTGCACTCTTTCTAAGCTGAGGGCCTTTAACTCCCTGCTCCCCGTCTTCCTGACCCCGTCTCATGCACGCACCGTTAGGCGACAGCTCCAGCTCGCTCTCCTCCTTCTCGGTCTCGGGTGATTTGCGAGGAAACGTCCCTTTAACGCCGCAAAGCTGCTGAAATCTGGCGACATGGCAAGGATCTTGTAAGTATCTGCAAAGGCAGATAAATCGCTGGATCACAGCGCTCGCCATTGTAAAAGCGAAATGGTCTCCGATGAGCAGAGTGTGAGCCCCTCACGCTGAGCAAAGCGAGGGTGGTGCTTCCTTAGCAATACGCCGGACAGGAACATATACAGCTCCGTTAGCGCGCTAGGCTAGCCAACTCCGGAAATTTGCTGAAGTAATATCAGCCCAAATTACACTCTTCGCTCCATGGGTCCACAGCTCGAACGTAGCCACCCCTCTCCCGCGTTCAAAAAGGCTTAGCTAGACAAAAATATCGACGATAAAGGCAAGTAATCTCATTTGAACTGAGACACCGTCACAGCGCCTAGCCCGCCCGGACTCAATGAAGCCTTTCGGGCTGCTTGCGCGCGGCTGCACACGCGCACTGATGATGACGTAGTCGTGGGTCCCCTTTGAGCCGATGAATGAACCCCGTTTGTCCCTCTGTTCTACTATTAAATCCTATTAGTCTGAGTCTCAGATTTCCACTATTAGTCCAGTGAGTCTGACTGCCACCATGTCCTATTCATTATTAACCCAACAGCAGTCCCACTATTCCACTGTTACTCCACAGTCTGAGTCCCATTCCACTGTTAAACCAACGAGTCAGAGTCCCGCTATGCCACCGTTAATCCAGTGTGTCTGCTTACTATTTCACTATTAATCCAAGGTTTCTGAGTCCCACTATTACGCTTAACCCAATGAGTTTGATTTATACTATTTCACTGTTCAAAGGACTCCCACTATTGCACTACTGACCCACTGAGTCTAACCCCACTTCACTATTAATCCAATGGCTTTACTTCTATTCCACTCTAAATCCAAAGGTTCTGTCTGTTTCCTAATCGAAGCTAATGTGTGGTCTTAATCAAAGCCAATGTGAAATACAGCCATCTGCTGCCCAAATCTGTTAATGCATCTGTTAAGAGCAAGTCTAAATTGCACAGTACACAACTTGAAAAAAAAAAATTAAAAGACCTATTAAGTAGTCACTTTATTTATTAATTGTTTGAAAACAGTAATATACATAAAAAAAAAAACTATTTGAAACCTCAAACAAGCAATTCAGTGGTAAAGTCTGTTGTAATGTAAATTATGGACTATGCTTATCTGTATGACACGCACAAAGTAACAAAATACATACTCAGGAAATATGTACACAACAATCTTAGGAAAATACAAAAGGTCTCAACTTGGATCACACAGATCAGCAAAATCAAAATGTGAAAAGTAAAGAAAACCTACCAAAAAATAAAAACAAACTTCCTCAGCTATGCTGCATTTTCTTTTCACCATTTGAATCTGCTCCTCTGCTGACTGCGTTTCACTGCAAGACAGAAAAAAGGTACTGATTTAATCATCAAACCAAATTTAATGAAATTTTAGAAACATAGCAAAGTGTACCCTTGGCCCTAAAAGTTTCCTTACTTGCTGTTTTGTCTTCTTCCATTGAGCTCAGGAGCCAATGTTGTGTTCTTTCATCTGACCCTTTGGATCCTCATAAAGTATGACAAAATGACATATTAACAAATGAGTCTACAAACGAATTAGTAATAGCATACTGTATAAAATAGCCAAATTATTGCAGTGGAAAAATCTTCCCTCAACTGTTGCTAATGTAATAGGACGTTCTACATGTTGTGTTTAAATAAGAGGTATTAGTGGGTTTAACCTTTGTTGCCCAGGTTTTGCCAGGTCCTGGCCCTGAGGGAGGGTGGTCTGCTTTTGCGGGAGGCCGTGAACTCCTGCATATGGTCTGTTCCAGAGCCTGAGGTGTCCATCTCCACCTGCCTGTGTCGCCGGGATTTGGATGCCTGTGATGAAATAAGGAGGAAAAAAGAATGACAGGTTTGAGAGAGGCAATAAACTGTGATCACTGTCTTCTTTTATTACAAAAAATAAGAATGTAGGAATTAAGAAATTTTTAAGGAGGCCAGGTATTTATTAGCAAAAACAAACCTTTGATAGATGGCCATATGACTTTGATTTGATGGAAGCAAGTAGATCGGCTCTTAAGGACGACTGGAAAGAAGGTTAAGAAGACAAAGTTGCACTTGCACCTCTGAGGATTCTTCCATTTTCATCAGTTTTAAGTGGCCTAAATTCATATTGTGAGTGTCTCTTAAAAGTGAAATATTTAAATTGGACTCACCTCAGTTTGCTTAGTGCTTTTCTTGGCTTTCGCACCAGAGTCTTTATTCTTAGCTGCCTGGATGTAAAACATTTACATAAGACTTGCACACAAGTCACTCAAACTATCTGCAAACTCAAAACTCAGAATTCACCAGCCGCAAGCAGCACAAGCTACATGTGATTTAAAGACATTACATTGTATGTCCAAAAGTTTGTAGACATCTGCTCTGTAATCAAGGGTATTTATAGGCAGTTTGTCCTCCTTTGCTGCACTAACAGCTATTCTTCTGAGACTTTACACTAGATGTCAGAACATTGCTGTGAGGATTTGATTGCATTCAGCTACAAGAGCATTAGTTAAGTCAGATAATGATGTCAGATGATTAGTTTTGGATCACAGATGCCACTACAACTCATCCCGATGGTATTAGATGGAGTGGCATCACTCCAGAGAACACAGTTCCACTGCTCTACAGCCCGATGCTGTGGGTTCCTTATACTTCTCTAGATGATGTTTGGCATTGGTCATGGTGACCGTAGGCTCAAGTGTGGCTGATCTAGTGTCCTGTTGTATTGGCAATGCTTTTCAATGGAGATTGTAGGAGCAATTGACTGTGTCAGCAATGACTACACCTTAAAGGAGCTGAATTCACTAATTAGAAGGGGTATCTAGATACTTCTGGACATATAGTTTATGCAGTCCTAGCACTTGACGGAGCCACAGTTCTGCAGGGGAAAGAGCCTGAAGTCTCCACTAGATGTCCTTACTGCATTTTTTTCCTGCCACTGTTGAAACTCAAGGGCACATTCCAGAAGTTTTGCAGTCAAGTTGACTGGCGTCACACTTATTGATGACGACACAGGCAAACCCTGTTTAATCCGTTCATAGTGACCATGAACATTTGCAATTTCCTATGAGAGAAAATAAACAGAGTAACTTTAATATATGAAGATGAATATAATATTGAGCAAGTAAGCACTAAACATAGTTACCCTTACAGGGATAAGGATTTTATGACAAGCTCTTTTTTACCAGCTGTTGTCTTTAGCGTGCATGCTGGTCATGCACTGAACGCACATCATATTACTCTTCATTGTGTAAGCGTAACTTTTCGATTTAAAAGATATCATGACGTTGCTTAGACTATAATAGTATAATTGTATGGGAATTCACATTCTAGCTTTCTGTTCTTCACTGATCTCTGTTTGATAAAGGAATAGTCTGATTTACCCTAAGTAAAGACTGCATGATCACTTATCCTTGGTCATGAAGGTCTCAGTGCATCATTGGGTTAACAGTTTCACACTGTTTTACAAAGTTGTTAAAACAAAATTCATGTTTTGTATTGTGGAGCAGGCTGCTAGGACTGTACAATGTTTGTTATTTGCTACTATTCATCATCCTACTGTACACTGAATTTCAAAATAAGAGTATAACAAGATACTATACTAAGAAAATAACCCATCATTAAGATTTCTGTCTTAGAAAACACCTCACTTACTTCTAGTGTATCTGTGTTGACCAGCTCCGCCACTCTGGCTGAATGATCCTGGAACTCCTCATTGACATCTTTGTTCAAAAAACGACGCTTTGCGTCAAATGTGAGCTGGAGGTTAGATTGGAGACATAGTTTAGCGTCAGTTATCTGAACTTTTGTGGGTCAAACCAAGGGTATTTTTTTTCTATATAATCAATGTTACAGAGCAAAAATTAACACAAAAGTTACACTAGCAGTCAAAAAGAAATGCTGGCACCTTTGTTATGCATTAATATTTTGCAACTGCTGTTGTAATGTGTGTAAAGCGATCTATACTGTTCTGCCTACTTGAAGAAGGAACATCTCACAAAAATGTCTAGACAGTCCAATGACATTAAAATTCAGGTGATGACATGGTCACAATCTTCAGTTTTAAATATTATATATACATAGACAGACACACACACACACACACACACACACAGAACTACTATATATACAGAGAACGCAGCTAATGTGTGGCTACTCCAGAGCGTCTCATTCTACTGGCAATGCTTTTCTATGGAGATTACATAAGCTGGGTGTGTGCCTGAATTCATGAATCAGAAGGGATCCCTGGATTCTTCTGGAAACATTGTGCAACTCCTATAGTTGCATTATTTTTTCAATGTGCATCGGTTATCACTGCAAAAAAAACAGTTTGAGCAATTCTTTTTGACTGCCATTGAATACATATTACATTTATTTATACTTTATGTTTTGTGTGTTTTGAGGGCAAAAGGCTAAGGAAAGACTTGTGAACCTGCTTGGGCATGGTAGTGTAAAAAAACACTTTATCAGACTCAAGCTTCCTGTAGACATATACAACATCCAGATGCTGACAGCTAAGCGCATCTGAAACAAACTTCTGCATGTGCACCCAATCCTTCAGAGCAATCCAGATCTATGAAGAGACATGAAGATGTAACATAAATATACAGTCAAAGGACTTAAACCTTAAAGGACCTTAGATTTAAAAGGAGTCTATAATAACAATACAAGTTAAAAGCACCTTTTCCTTAGGCAATGAGAGCTGTGCGTGGTAAAGGCCGTATAACGTGTACAGAGCCCCTGCCCTGATCTGAAAGCTGTATGGAGGCAGGAAGTAATCGTACACAGTGGCAAAGGCAAGACGAGTAAAAGCTCTCTTCTCCTGGTGCGTAGTAATTCCACTAATGACAAAAGGGGGGAAAAAAAATTCATACACCACACAACACATGCAGCAACTGGCACATCATTTCTCCCTTTTTGCATGAAATGCATAATGATTTTTGTTACAATTAGAATTTTATTTTCTGTGTTTTGATCTAAACATCTGTTAAATGCAACTCAACTTCTGAACGTGAATAAAGTTGAATGTAATATGTAATGTGGGACCCATTTTCAGTGTTTACCAAAAGAAAAAAATGATGTGATATATTATTATTATTTCAACCTCAGATTCCTTGGCCTTTGCTCATTTTCTGTGAAGAACATACACTCATTGTCAAAAAATAGCTGCCCCCAGAAGGATTGCAATGCTATTCGGAAGAAAGATAAAAGGTTACCAGGAACAATGAATGATTAAAAATTTAGACTGCTACGGGTAATGTTAATTAAGCTACACATACAGAAGTAATGTCTCTCAGTATGGCGTCGCAACATGCCAGACGTCTCGGCATGGAGTTGTAGAGCTTTCTAATAGTGTCATGCGATAATCCATCACATGCAACTTGAACGGAACGTTGATAGCGCATCCAATAGCATCCCATACATTTTCAACTGGGGACAGGTCTGGCAATGCGGCTGGCCATGGCATAGTTTCTGTTTCTTTAAGGCAAGCTCTTGAGACGGCAGCAGTATGCGGATGAGCAGTGTCCTGCTGGAATAGCGCCCTGAAGTGTGCGTTTAAAAAAAAAGGTCGGACCACTGGTTGCAGGACCTCATTTACGTAACACTGGGCTGTCAATTTGCCTGTAATGAAGACCAAAGGTGACCTGGCATAGTATGAAATTGCACCCCACACCATAACGCTAGGCCTTCTGGACGTGTGACATGTGACAACAAACCGTTCATCTTGGCGCTGACCACGGTGCCTCCACACATTGATTTGTTGGTCGTCTCCACCAAGACAAATGCGGGACTCATCACTGAAGACACTAAGTCACTTCATGATAGTCTAGCAGGACACCACTGCAGTCTTTGGTGACGCTGACGTGGTGTTAAGGGCAGTCATCATAACGGTCTCGAGCATGCAGTCCTGCGTTGTGCAGCAGTCTGCCAATCATGCTGGCACTAAGAGGATAGCTCATGGAAGGCATCGCTGCTCGCTGAATGTCCACAATCATGGCTGTTGGGTCACTCCACGCATGTCGAACAATCCGTCACTTCTCCCTCTCTGTGGTTCATGTAGGTCTCCCAGATCCTTCAGGTCGCTTCATGTTCTATCCACTGCTGCTAACAGCGCGCTATGGTAATATCCACATGACCGGTAAAGCGCGCAATACGCCACTAAGACCATCCCGCTTCCCGAAGCCCTGCAATGCGACCCCTCTCGATCGTCTTTTTTGACAATGACTGTTTAAAATAACATATTTTCAATGACTTCACACTCTACACCCCCTACACATTTATTTTACACATGTGGTGTTGGGGTGAACCCTCTGGGAATAAAAGTGTGGAGGTGCTGTGTTCTCGTCCTACATGGCCTGCTGTTAGTGTTTGTATATGTGTGCTTGTGTGTGCAGGTGGACGACATGGACAGGCTGCTGACTGGCTACAGCTGCTAAAGGAGAACGCTACGCTGGCCATGTGTCATATTTTAAACATCTGGTACTTTTACATAAACTGTTATGTATATGTAAAAAAAAACAAAAAAAAAAACACACAATAATACGGTGGGTCCACCAGACCACTGAGTAACAAAAACATGAACACCACACAAGGGTTAAATCTAATCTAAACTCAACCTCAATTTGCTCAATTTAATGCTAACCCTAAGGTTGTTTATAATCAACTGTGTTTCATCAAATGGTTGGTTACTAACTTAAACACCAACTATTCTCTAAAATACGTGTTAACCACCCTCCACCCGCCCACGGTGTAAAATCAGCAGCAACCAATATTACTGTTTATACTGCTATTGATAGAACATAGAAAGCAATGCTAAAGCAACAGTGGTGTACAGTGAGTGCAGGAAGGCCTTACTAAAACACGCTGGAGAAGTCCATTGCTCTCCATATAGCCGCAAACTCTTCATATCGAACCGACTCGGTTAGCTGGAAGCGGCCCAGCAGTTCCTCACAGTCCGTTTTGAACGGAATCCAGAAGTAGTCGCACGCTTTCGCTGCAGCTTAAAGGGGAATTTATACCGTGAAAGACAACACCGGCCGTACGGTACCGTTGAAACAAATATAACTAGCTTACCTATTGTCATCGTTGCTTTGACACAGATAAAAACGGGAACCTGTGTAGAACAGCTGGTTAAACTGACTAATAACTGAAACTCTAGACGCCTCGAATATTCGCTTGGTCACGTGCTTCGGTGCGACGTCGGTTTATACCGGGGGTCGCCAACATGCGGCTCTTTTACAGCCCTGTTGTGACTCCACGGAATTAAAATTTTTAGGTAAGAATAAAACAATCCTCTGCTGAGTTTTAACAATAAATAGTCTTAAACTCTGGAGTTAATGTCAGAGAACTGATAAACCGGCTCTGTTTATATGAAACTGCTAATTCACCAACCTTTAACCTTTGACTGGCGCGAAGACTGCTGGTCACCACAGCAACGCAGACAACGGTCTCGCCTAGCTAGTAGCTAACAACGAGGAGAAATATTTAAGAGGAACATAATTTGGAGATTAATGAACTTATTTGCTTTTATAAGCACACACGCTGGTTTCCTGATACGTTTATAATCTGCAGCGATAAACTGTCAAACACGAAAAAGTCGCGAAGCTGAAGTCAGCTTCTCGGTCGCTAGGTTCGAATTTTCCCGTTCCACCTTAAATGGTTAGCTGCATTTTGGCGCCTCGGGCACCATTTAAGGTGGAACGGGAGAATTCGAACAAGAAGCTGGTGAATGAGAAGCGACTTCAACCTCGTAAAAACTATTCTACTTTTGCAGAAAAGCGGATATAGGTGAGCTAAAGATTAAAACGGAGTAAAGTAGGTTAAGTCGTTTATTTTATATTTTTAGCCTGTAACAGGACATCAACACATACTGAGACACATTTGCAGCCAAAATGGTAAAACGATACTTAAATAAAATGGACATAAACTATAGTGGCTCCCACGCTGGTTTGATTTTTGTTGAAAGGACAAAATGCCTCTTAACATTTGGGTTGCCGACCCCCTGGTTCATACCAACGGGCAGTAAAACCCTCAAGCCATCAGCAAACTGTATTTAAAATTCAGACTTTTGGTTCCATCTTCAAACTTTATAAAGGCAGAATTGAGATTCGCTCACATTTCAAAAACGAGGCATTCTGAATGTTACTTTAATTATAACTTCTTATTGTTTTACAGCTTTTTCAATCATTAAGGAACTCCTATTTGATCTCCCTGAACATGGTCAATTTAAATTCATCTGGGTTGTAATGGTAGAATGTCATTAAAAATGACAAAATCCTTATGAGTAAATGTTTTTTTTTGCATCCACACATTTCAATAATTAAACTAAAGAAAGCACTTCTCCCAAGACGATTCTGGTCCACAATTGTTCTTTAATGATTATGCAATAAACAATACATTTAGTGTTAAGGGAATACAGGTGTACAGACCGCAGAAATAAATGAACAATAGATTACAATATGACAACCACAAAAGGAAATGCTTCTCCTATCGCAAAATAAGATAAAAGTTCATAAAATATTTGCAGGACAATGTCAGCCTCTATGCAAAGTGACATTGATAAGAAAGCATGAGGAAAACAAATATTGCCGTTGTTTATGTCTACTCTAAGCAGTTTTATATGCTGTTATACACTTAAAACTTGAATAACTGATACATTGGCATTGCATGATCATTCTACAACACGCTTTTTAAGCATAATATTTAAATCTATCCTGCTGTACGACACTGGAGGCATGAAGGACTTCTAAGCATCTACCATGAAGATACATAGACAGAAAAAAAATGTCTAAAAATATAAAAATCTATCGCATAATTAAACTCTACATCTGTTGCAACCTTTTCAAGATAACCATCACCTGGACATTTGCATTTTACTAGAAACGCCAAAATCTCATTTGAAAATTCCCTTTTGCACATTCGCAAGGACTACTTTCAGTGGTGCCTTTACAATTCATCTGTGCCATTCTACACTGAACTGGTGATGTAAATATGTCCACAGCAATAACAATACAAGCATTCACCATGGAGCCTATGGATGAACACACATACAACTCTTAAATGTAACCGCTTTAAAACAAATATGATAGATGACAAAAGCAACAGAGAGAAAAATAACATGGTTATTCTTTTTGTTAAAAGTACATATTCGTAAAAATGGTTTTGTATATTGCATGAACTGCTGGTATTCTGTCTTAAGAAAATAGATCATTGTGCGACTTTAGCTACAATACACACTGCTTTGGGAAGAGGGTGGGCAAAAGGCAGGGCATAAAGATGAGAGAAGTGTTGCAGCGATAAAAGGGATTCAGAGGGAGTGGGAAAATGAGTATCTATGGTGGGGGAGTGTGCGTTTAGCATTAAGGCTCTTAACTCACTATTGGTCACCACCACTAGTTTAAATTACACTAGTTTGCCTCCACTTTCAGGAGAGAAACTACTTCTAATACTTCATCAGGGTTTGTCCTCAGGCCACTGATAGGAGGGAAGTCCACCGAGAACTAGGAAATGTAGGGTCAGTTAGCAGACAGCAAAACACTGAGCTGTGGAAAATATATATGTAGGGAAAAGTCGGATGGGGGTGAAAGGTAGAAGGGGGGCTTGTGGTTCTACTTCAGAAGATAATAATGGAATAGGGTAAAGAGGGTGCAGTGTCCAGTATTGCAAAGCAGAGCGTAACTCAGTTAACTTGGTCCAGAGCACGCAGTAGCTCCTCCCCCTGTAGCAAGGGATGGCGGTCCTGAATAGGAGCGTTGACCTCGCAGTCATAGCGCGTCAGTTGAGGTAACCCTCCACTGCTGTCAAATGAGCTGCACAGCAAACGACTGGCCACATCTTCAAAGAAAGCAAACAAAATACATAAGCCTAGTTCTTGTAACAGCAAAATAACTACCAACATAATTATAGAAGAGCATATCATTATAAATATGCACATATCAGTCAGAATGAAACAGAACTGTGTTTAATGGCAGTAATAGATAGTCGCATACAAAAATTTGAACATCCCTTGTTACGTTGTTTTGTTATTCTAAGTAAAAGTAACATCCTCTACAAGGAACAAATTTAAAATATGGTATTTTTCTGCAAATTATAACAGATACTTTCTATTTATTTGCTGAAATGATCATATTATAAGAAAAACTTTTGCACAGGCCACATTTAAGGTTGTATTTTTTCTCCAATGTCAAATTCTGCAAATAAACAGTAAGTGTGCATTAAAACATGCAAAAGTGCACAAGTCTCTGTAGAGCAAAGGTTCTCAAAACTGTCAGAGACCCCCAAACAGTCCCTATTTTTGCTCTATCCCAACTCCCAACAGATAAGGTCTTTGGGGGTCCCTGTAAAGAATATGTATTTACATTTACTTAGAAAACAACCAAAACAAAAACATTTGTCCAGAAGCATCTAAACTTTTGCATACGACTGTATGTGCTTACTAGTAGAGCATCTCACTTACCAGATGGCAGTATAAGAATGGTCTTGTTCCCACCAAGCAAACTGGAACCTTTAACCTCAAGCACTTTTGCTCTCTTTCCTGGTTCTATAACATCATCCACAGATTGAAGCAAAGCACCCTGGTAGTAAATATACACAAGAGCACTGATAAACATAGAGGGCTTTATTTAAGTTTTAAGATATTCAAGGATAAAGCACATGCTCAGCACAGTTTTATCTACATAAGTGAATTATGTGAATTATGAAATGAAACACAGAGATAGAGACTCACCAGTCCAACTGCTTGTGACAGTGAGGTAACCTCCTCTAGTTTTCTCTTTCGCTGGGCATTCTGGATTGCTAGCACCTTTGGAGAGAGCTCTCGATCCACCACTGACATTCTGAAAGCCAGAGGTTTAAATTCATGTCAGTGAAAACAATATCTTGTCCAAAGCCTCAACATCAACATACACAATATGGACAAAAGTACTGGGACACTACACATTACACCTACAGGAGATTTTATGACATCCCATTGTAAATCCATAGGCATTAATAGGGAATTGGTCCCCCCCTTTGCAGTTATAACAGCTTAAACTCTTCTGGGAAGCCTTCCACAAGTTTTGGGAGTGTGTCTGCGGGAATTTTTGCCCATTCATCCAGAAGAGCAGTTCATCCAAAGGTGTTCAGTGGGTTTGAGGTCAGGGCTCTGCACGGGCCAGTTAAGTTCTTTCACACCAAACTCACCCAACCATGCCTTTATAACCCTTGCTTTGTGAACTGGAGCACAGTCATGCTGGAACAGAAAAGGGCCTTCCTCAAACTGTTCCCACAAAGTTGGAAGCGTACAATTGTGCGAAATGTCTTGGTATGATGAAGCATTAAGATTTTCCTGCAGGTAACATTCTCCTGGCATTCACCAAACAGTCGTCCATTAGACTGCCGGATAGAGAAGCAGATTTGTCACTCCACAGAATATATTTACATCACTCCGCCCAGCGCTTGACATTGTTCTTGGCGATGTAAAGCTTGCATGCAGCTGCTCGACCATGGAAACCCATGCCTAGAAGCTCCCAGCACACAGTTTTGTGCTGATGTAATGCCAGAGGAGGTTTGAAACGCTGCAGTAAATGAATCAGCGACTTTTATGCACTATTCGCCTCAGCATTTGTCGACCCCACTTTGTACCTTTACGTGGTCTGACACTTTGTGGCGGAGTTGCTGTGGTTCCTAAAGGCTTCCACTTTTCAATAATACTACTCACAGCTGATCATGGAATATCTAGAAGGGAAGAAATTTTGGTGCAATGGTGGCATATTACTATTAACTCTTATTACAGAACCATGCTCAAATTCAGTGAGCTTTTTAGAACAATCCATTCTTTCACAAATGTTTGTAAAGGCAGACTGCATGGCTAGGTGCTTGGTTTATACACCTGTGGCACTGGGACTGACTGAAACATCTGAATTCAATGATTAAGAGATGTGTCCCAATACTTTTGTATAGTGTGGAGTTTTCAGTTCACACACTCCAAACAGTGTAAGAGTAGCATCAAGTGTGTTAGCTACCTGCTAGTCAGAGGGATGCCTCCCTGTGGGGTGGGGGCACGGGCTGGGGAAGCCTCACGACTGCGAGCGCCACTGAAGGGTGAGACTGGGGCACTGCGTACCTCCTGTAGCAGGTGGAGTGGTGAAGGGACACGAGAACAGGGCTCCTGCTTTACTGAACTGCTGGAGCTAGAAGGTGGAGATGGCGGGGTAGGTAAGGGCTGGAACAGGGAGTTCATGTCTGAGATAGCATGTGGACCAGAGGGGAGCGGGTCCAGAGGAGAAGTGATGTGTAGCTGGAAGTCATCATCCATAGGAATATATGGCGCAAGCATTTCTAGGTCAAGATCACCCATATCCTTAAAAGAAAACATGACCAAGATTAGAGGATGCAGCATAATTTAAAAAAAAAATTGAATTGAAACCTCCAAAACATTAATTAGTCTTACTTCGGTGCTGAATGGAGTCTTTGCCTCTGTGTCAATAGCAAACAACTTTTCAACCAAATCCAGTTTGAACTCTGAGCTAATAGCTGAATCAACTTCTAAAGAGTAATCCATTGGGCTGTTGGGCTGTGTAGAGAGAAAAAAAGCAAGTAATTCAGTATCTGAGGATATTAAATCAACCCAAATTACATTGTTCCACTGGCACAGAATAACTGAAAACTGTGAATCCTCTGGTAGTAAGCCCATTTGATCATGGTGAACTAGTCTACCTCTGAGGAGCTAGATCCAGTGGTGGGGCTGGATGGCTTGTCGGCAGTGTCTGTGCTGTGATGGGAGGTGGAAGAAAACGAAAAGTCCTCTCCTCCAGACTCTAGTTTGGTCAGAGCTGGAGGGGGCTCACTGGGAGCCAGCGGAGACAGCGGCAGAGGCAGTTTCTCACTGGTGGAGGGCAGCATGACATCGTTGTAGAGTGGCACCTCCTTCAGTAGATGAATCTCAGAGTCTAAAGATACACAACAGAGAGTGGTTTGGTTACTACAGGTTTTTACTATTCTTCTAGCGATTTCCTATATAAAGATTCATAAAGTGTTATTTAGTGTGATTGTTTCCTGTGCAACAGATTTTTTTTGCCATGTTAGCATAGCCTGTGTGTTTAATAAATATAATCCCCTGTGAATGGCAAATTCAGTGTGTGACTGCTGTTTGACATTTAGTTTTCCAAGATTAAAATGTCGCTCTCTGATAACTGGGACATGGTAATCATGGCAGGGAGACAGCCAAATCCCTCAAGTAATTTAACAGCCAATATTGTCATTCTTTTTTTGTTCAGCTTACACTCACAGGTACAAGTGCTAATGAACGCTAATAAAGGTTTATTGTATGCTCCATGGCATTTAGCCAAATCCAGAAGGTACTGATGAGAAGTACTGACCAGGACTGTTAAAGTCCAGTGAGATGATGGTGTCTCCTGCAGCGGGAGCTAGAACTGTGAGGGCCTCAGGCTCCTCCTTCAGCTTCTCGTACAGGCTCTCCGAGCTCTTCACAGAACACAACAGCTTCTCGTTCTTGAACAGTTTTGACATGTCCATTTCCGAGTCCTCTTCCTTCTCCATTTCTGGCTCCTTCTCCACAGCCTTTGGCTCTGTCACTGTCTGCTGTAGGGAGAGGACTACGTCTCCCTCCACAATGCCACTGCAGGACACATTATCGGTGAGACCCAAAATGCCACACTTCATCACAAGACATTCGTTACAATAGACACACATTCAGCATTACATATTGGTTACATCACAGATAAAATGGAGTGAATGTTATACCTGAGAACATAGTTGACACACACAATGCACTGCGGCTGGGAGTTCTTGGGATTGTAAATGACTGTGGCCTGGGTCTCGACCCACACATAGCCTCCCTTCTTAGCCAGCATTCGATACTGGCCTGTTGTAGCCTGGCCCTTTGCAAACACTGAGTAAGCAAAAGGAACATCTAGTTAGCCAATCATAACTGCTAGGATGATATATTATCTGAGCCATTTCACCTAACCACTGGCAATGCAGGACAACTATTTTGCATATTAAAATAGTTGTTTATGTTTTCGGTCACTTACTGATAAAAGAACTGCGAGTGATATCAGACTGGATATAATTGGCCTAGGGACACTTACGATTATGGTGTGTCTTGGTGAGGTGATCAGAGTCCAGGGCATGGTAGAACTCATACACAGACCTATTCATCAGGTCATCTGGCTCATGGCCCATCAGTTCTGTGATTCTGAGAGACAGAGGAAAAGATGAATTAGATGTTTAATTCACTGTAGAGCGGTGCATATATTTTTATATATGTATTATTTTAAAAGTTTTCTTGTACATTTTGTGTGTTCCACAAAATTCAATTACTGAATCAGAATATTTTGTACATAAACTAAAACTAAACTCTTACCAAAATCATCATATCAGTCAAATCTAAACATCTGTCTAATGCTGAGAATTTTTTTTAAAGTATCAATAATCTGCTGATACCAATGATTCCAATATCATTGTGCATCCCATATATGAACAGATTTATTTACCCCATTTGAATATATTTCTTTATTTTTCATCTAATTTGTGTTTAAATTTAAGTGTACAATAACAAAACACCTTCCCAAAATGTGCTAAATATGTTCATAGAATAATGGCCAAGCGTTGGTTACAGGTTTGTACCAATATATGCTTTATGCGATGGTTGCATATTTACACCACTAGGTGGTGATAAAGCATATGAGGAAAAAGACTTGGTGTTCGGTTTGGCTTGTCCTAGACCAGGTGCGTAGGGATGATGTCCAGCATAGTTTGGTAGTTTCCCTGCTCACACACACCCACTAAACCTGGCAACTAAGAGGTGACTCAGGTGTGTTTGAGCAGGTAAATCACCAAACCATGCTGGACCCTCCATAACCAGAAATGTGCACCTCGTCCTAGACTCTCAGAATCCAGGGCAGCAGTTCTCAACTCCAGTTCCGGGGAACCACTGTCCTGCACTGCAACTGCCCTGATCCAACTCATCAGGTGATTATCAAGTTATAGTAAGCAGTAACAATGGCTAAAGGAATGCCTGACAAGGGCTAAGAGTAACAGTGACTAAAGGAACAAAAAAAAACAAACAAGATAAAAAATATGAAGAGAAATGGAAAATCTGGGGTAGAAAAAAAGCTATAGAGGTAAATGTAATGGTTTAAAAATTGTGTGGCATATAGGGTGATATGAGATTAATAAGACAATACAAAAAAGACAAGATTAAGTTTAATTAGAGCAAGTCACAACTCACCTCTCATCGCAGTATGAGAACTTCATGTCCAGAGTGTGACGGCTAAGGAAGGTTTTGCTGTCCAGAGGCACCTCGATGTTCGAGGGGTGAGGGATGGGCTCACAAATAAGCACCAGATAGGTGATAGGGGGCTCTTTGAAGCTAGTATCTCCAGGACCCTCACTGCACTCCTGGACACGCACATGCCCTGTGCAGTGGAGAACCTGAAAGAGAAGGTGTTAATATGGTTAAAATAAATATGTGATACAGGTACAAGTAACAACCTCTAACAAAGTCCACACTTTCTTGTTAAGTGTTCTAAACTCACATAAAAATAAAAATAAAAAATCAATCCAGGAAAAGAAGGAATAATACAATGATTATAAGACATGCACCAAACGTTAAGTTGTCACTCAAGTCCTGATGCATGATGGAACAAGTTATAGAAGATCATACACAGTTATGTTTTGTGAGCCAAATAAAGATAATAGACTGTGCTGGATATCTTAATCCAAAATCTCAGCAAAGTACAGCTCTTCTTTTTATTTCTGTTGTGTATCAAGACCTGTAGTCCAAAAACCAACAGTATGTTAAGTGCAAAGGTAATGCTCATTATGATAAAAATAAAACAACAGAACTATATAACACAATATCTCAGCCTTCCAAGAAATTTAAAAAAATAAATTTAAAAAAAAACAAAAAAACACAACAAACATTACATGCAGAAAATAACTGGACATAAGGTGCAATGATGGACTCTATTTAATGCAAAAATTAGCATAAGGTAATGGAGGCACCAAAGTGCACAAAAAAGGCAGGAGGCAGGAGGATCAGTCCAACTGGTAAGCCGGTCTCAGAACACTATAATTCTGGTTCAGCAGTTGCTTCTCAATGTGATGTATGACACCTAGGCTACATGGAAACTAACCACCAATTATTTTTGCTGATTCTAGATCGCTTTTGGCCTTTTTGAAAGTGTTATTTAGACTCCTCCCAAATCACCAGTAAGCAAAACAATTGTAAAATAGCAACACAGGCACTTGACTGAAAATCATATTTCCCCCAATACAGTGTACTGTAAAATTATCTGAACTGTTCAGGGTTAAAATTAAATCATCACAATGGACAACTGTGTCATAGACTAGTTCACTCTGAAACTAACATAGGGCCAGTTTCCCAGACAGTGATTAAGTCTGGTCCTAGACTAGACAGGGTTTTGGTAAATGGAGATCTTCCACTGAAAGAAAAATATAGCTCATAACTAGGATTAACCAATGTTCCAGAAAACCGGCTCAGTGAGTTTTTAAAATGTATCTTTTTTAACACATATCCAGATTTGTGGTGAATGTGGAAGCTTACCTTCCATGTGGCAGACTTGATGTTGACAGTACGTCCTCGACTAGTGAGTGTGCACTTCATGCGCAGGAAGAAGCTTCGCTCTGTGTTTTGCTCCTTAGTTTTCTTGGACCCTGTTCTGTGCACTAGCATCTCCCTCATTTCCTCATGATCACAAGGGTGAGCAAAGTCAAAAACGCTGTGGCCAGTCAGATCAAACTGAAAGAGAAGAGAAAGTGAGAGAGATGTACAGGAACAATTACATACAGAATTTCAGAACAAAAGTAACATGATCATTACCTGTGTGAGGCCCATGCACTTGCAGACATTTTCGGAGAGATAAACCATGTCTCCATCCTCAGAAAGCACCATCAGGAAGCCCTCCAGGGCCTTCAGGTAGAAGCCATTGAGCTGGCTCTCCAGCTCAGATTCATCCTCTGCCTCATCTAATAACAAAAATACATTTTTATAGCCTGCTTGACAGGTATGCCATTTTTAATCAAAATCATTTTTATTTGAAGCATGCACTCATAAGATGCACCATACTGATTCCATACTGTAGCTATTAATAATTCCTTAAAAAACAACCACATCAGCTACTTAGGTGTTTAGATTTGGTCACAATTAGGCTTGCCAGAAGTTAGGAAGACCCAATGCCTACTTATTTCCACAACAAAGGTAGGCTAAAAGAAACATTTTCCAGTTAACAATTACTACTTTTAGAAATAACAAGGATTATTATCACATATTTTGTAGTATGAAACCTAACTGTATTCAATTCAAAGCGTGTGTCGTCTCCACATTAAAGATATATCTATAAACATGCATATTGTGACACCCCTATTATAATCAGTTTCATATATTTGAGAGGAAAAAAAGCACTAGAGATTTTTTTAAAAAGCTGATTTAGCAAAAGTAAAAGCTACAGAGACAAATGACTCCTTGATGATTCGTGTGATTTGTTAGGCACCGCAACACTTCCTTTAAGAAAAAAATGGAACTCCTGGATCTAAACTTTGTCACATATGGAGACAAAGTATAAGTATATGCATAGCTAAGATTTTACTTAACACAGGTTCACACCATAAATAAAACTGTTTATACTTGATCACATTCCACTAGACTGACCAGAGCTCAGAAGTTTTCTCATGCGCAGGTAGCTGATGGTGAGCCTCATGATGGAGGCCTTGTCCAGATGGGAGCTGACATTGTGGGGAAGGGGCAGTTGACGTGCTAGTTCATAGAACACCTCAGACTCCTTGCCCCTGCGACATCGAGCAGCATCCCTGGACTTCTCCTTCCTGCGCTCCGAGCTCACCCTAAACAGACAAGAACAAAGGAGAAATGGGGTGGGGGGTGTTAAGTTTGATTAACTGTCTGCCTACAGGAAAGAAGAGTCACACACAGCTAGACTTAGCCTTGGACAGTAACAGCAAGGTCATCTCAGTTTTCTTGTCACATTCTCTCATCTGCATAACTCCCATAAATGCAATTTTATTGGCCCACATCAAAGGCAAGATGAACAAGCTCTCAACGCAACTGGCTAGATGAGGAGGTGTGGTTGTACTGCAGAAGAGTGTGTGTTATTGCTCCTGGTAATCAGCCAAGGCCAAAGGTTGGCTGGTAAATTATGGCCACGGTCAGTTCCCAGTGTGAACAGAGAACACTACATAACTGAAGCCAGAGGTCTTTCAATTAGACAACTTACATATCCGGACATATATTTTTCACAAAGTCGACATTAAAGTTATTTATATATATTTGTTTAAGTTATTTATGACATGAGCAACAATGAGTTAATAGCCAAAGCAATGTACAAATTTGTACGGCAACAAAAAACATTTTTGAATATGCTTAAATCTTCAATACTCGACAAAGAACTCCAGCTTCTGTTTGTGGTGGGAAAAGACTGTGCGCCTTCCTTTCTTATTGTCCTACGATGTGAGGTTTTCATTGCTTGTGGCTCCGCAAGCTTTGAATTTTAACTTACAAAACACACACAAACATTAAAAAAACCTTTAAAAAGGCATTTTTTTTGTGCCTAAGTATAAAAAACAGGGAATGAAAAAGAAGTGACCCTATCTGAGTGAACAGAATGTGCTTTGTCAACACTTAATAATTAAGCATTACATAAAAAACGTAAATGATAAATTACATGCAAATGTTCAGACAGCTGTTTCCTAAGAGCTTTAAAAAAAACTTTGTGACAAAGGGAATACAAAGCGTTGTGTACATCCAACCTGCACAGCCTGTTTCAAACACTGTCACTTCTGAATGATAATTACAGAGGGGTTGCATTTGACCTACTTTGACTGTAACTTTATATCACAATGACGGAAAGATAAAAACAGCCAGCTAACACGGGAAGAGGAGGGCGTTACAGTATTCAAAACATGTTGAGCCTTGTCAAGTGTGTTATAGCCAAAAACTTAGGTGAACTGTGTAAAAAGCACTGAATAAAGTTTCCTATGGCTGCCACTGACAACATCCAAAGGTCCTCACAAATGGTCTTTGAATACATCAAAATTTCACAACAACAATGACATAATACAGCCTTGAGCAGGAGATGGGCTTTCCTTTTAAGAGTGAATGTGGAAGCAATAGTGTGAAGATATTGTAAACCTGGTTCTCGATCCATGAACAGATTCCCTACTGATACCCAAAACAGAATAATAAAATATTCAACAGGTCTTCCTATTCTTATCCAAAAAGCAACAATACTTGCTGAAACAATGGTATAGCAGGGTGTTAAGTGAATGCAAGAAATAGGAAGGAAGTCCATCAAGGCTGCCAACAGACTGCCAGGAAAAAACACATCTTAAAACAGAAGGATAATCAATTACAAAAGAACCTAATTTCAGTGTCTATACAATTGTCCGAAGGAAATTATTTTTCAAGAAACAGCTGAATGGGTACACAAGAAAAGGATATAGTACCATATAATATAACAGGCTGTCTGTGTAATGATACAGTAAGCTCAAACAGGTTATGGTATCCAAGTCATAAGCAAGGTAAATGTACATTACTGAAAACTCTCTGGAAAACTGGAAGGCTGTTTTATGAGAGTTTTGTAGTCTAAATTAAGGTTTTCCAACCGAGGTAGTACCAACCACTGGGGGCACACATGACCACTGGGGGTGGGGGGAGAAATGAATAAACTAGTGACTTTGCAGCACAGCCTCTGCACATCTGAAATGCTTTAAAACAGATGTGCAGTTAACAAGGCTATTCCATTATCAGTGCTTCTAAATTTTTTGTGCCTTAAATGCCAATAAGAGATGCTAATTCTAATTAAATCTAGGGTAGAGTCAGAGCATGTATTAGTCTAAATGTGACGTAGACCATAAGCACGTAAAAGTACAGTTTGCTTAAACATATGCAGGTTGATTACATATTGCTCTTAAATATCGCTAAAAGTACAGGCAATCACAAATTTAAACGCAACTGTTCCTAACTATGATAATTAGGACTGAACTATGATTATGATTACGCTATTACCACTGAATTAAATGCAATTCAGAGTGATTAGTACATTTTGGTACACACCCAGAGCAAACTCCTATACCTGGTGAGGGTCGGACAGGACATTGAGCAGGCACATCTGAGACTGTTAAAAGGACTCCTAATAATATGGGACAACTGAATAATTTCACTGGAAATGGTTCACAGCAAACATATCTATTTATTATTGTCTTTCAAGATCACAAATCTAAAGCAATCATGAGTATATACTATCTACTGCATATCTGAACAAATTCAGTTTATGTAACTAAGGCTTTTAAAAATTGGAAGGGACTGAAAACTAACATTAAGAAGGAAGCCAAGATCTCATTCGTTTAGAAAACTTACTTCTACAACAAACAGTGAGCTTGTGCTATCACAATGTCTACCATTACTAGGCTAATGGTATGTGTATTTATTTCAACAATGATTCAGCCAAAATATCAAGTTCATGTTAATTAATTTGTAGGGATGCTTGACGATATCAGAATCATATCAGCTTTGGACAGAAGTTTAGATGTTACCAATATGAATCAATATCTGATAATTATTAGATTCCAGTCAGGCAGAATGTTTAGTTGACACCGGGCTACTACACTAAAACGTCAGCATTTTAATCATTGTATTGCTTCTGTTACTCAACTAAAATAAATGTTAAACAAATGCAGCCTCAGTTTCTACATTTTATAAATATTTATGCATCAGTATTTTTAGATATGTATCAGTACATTAGATATCAGCATCAGCCCAACATTCTCACAACGCTGCATCCCTACTAATTTGCCCTGGGTAAGGGGTGTTATTTTTATGTAATTTATCTATATGTTCCAATTTTAGCCTTAGCGATTCCAAATGCCTGTTGCAGCGCTACATTTGTTTCACCAAGAGGCAACACAATGTCTGAACTCACTGTGCCCTGTGATTTTTTTTTAACAGAAAAAGTATAATAAAACCCAAAAATATACAATAATATATTGCAAACAACAAATGGACACTGCACTCGTTGAAGCTATAGCCTACTGAGTTAACCGTTACTTTTACAAGAAACCTGTTTACATTAACAAGGTAAAATGCATGATTTGTTAATAAAAAGGCATAAATGTCCTGTTTTTACAAATTCTGACATCTTAAAGAGTGCCTTTTTGGTAATGTAGTGAACATTTTATTATGTGAAAGGCTTTCGGCTTTTTCAATAACGAAAATAAAGCTAGGCACTCATGCAAGGAGGTCAGCAGGATTTTTATTTCTTCGGACAGAGGCAGTCCAGCTACATTTAGCATGGCATGTGTTGCGTAACACACCATGGCATTAGATGAGAAGAGTCTCCTAACAGAAATTAGGCCTGACAGATTTGCCTGAGTCTGGGCCAAATACTAGGAGGGCATTATGAAAGGGATTTGCATGGAATCAATTCTACACTGTCATTTGAAAAGAAAACCACAACTACTACTACTACAACAACAAAAACAAAAACCGGCCTACATCAGGTATACACTGAAAATGACCAGTATGTTCAACAGCCCACAGCAAAACAGATGAAAGCATTTTAGATAAAAAAGTGACTTTATCATCCATTAGGAGTGGACCTTCTCCAAGTGATATAAAACATGTTTATTAAATCTTTATGACAGACTCTGAATCAGTTTATGAACTTAAATAGATTTGTGCGAATTACATACAAATAGTGAACCCATACAGTAGCTTTTATGCCTTATGAACTTATGACACAAAAACACACCCAAACAGACAACAAAACAGTGAGAGTGGCATGCAACACAACCTCTTCCTATACAGTTCTTGCAAATGTCTTACCACAGGCCTAAGCAGGAAATCCCATTGACGTCAAAACCTATGGTGAGTAAGAAGTGAGGAAAAAAGCACAAAACAGCAGCCAGCATCTGATAAACGCGCTGCTGCTTAAATTAGGGTTAAATGGCCAACTTTAAATAAATAACATCAGTGAAATAACAGAGTTTACTTGATTTTTCTAAATTCACCCTGGGAAATTCTCATGGCCTCACCACAAATGGACAGAAAATCACTGCGGCCAATGCTTGCTGCCTGACCATCTTTATAAACCAGAGCGTGTATAGCTACCCAGAGGGGATACAAAACCGTAAGGGTGATAATATCAAATCAAAGTCTGATATTAAAAAGCAAAACAAATTACACTATCATGTAATCATTCCAGTACTCTCTGAATGAAGAGATAACGTTCCTATCAGACCAATACTTTCATAGAAAATTGGTTTTAAATTGACAGACCACACGAACTAAATCAACCACTTTCAAAAAATTGATTTCGAGACGATATTTAATAATAGTCACCGTTAGCTGTTAGCTGGAGTCCACATACTGCCTCCTCCGCACCACTCCATGCCACGCTGACACTTCGCGCAGGCAATTATCACAGTTAAAGCGGTTAAAGCAAATCTCTTAAACATCACCTTTAGTCCATTAGATCACCGACAATCTCTCAGTTAACATTACACACCTTACATGCACCTAACATCAGTCACCAGAAAATAAATCAAGGCAGCTTCATGCAATCCTGCTAACTTAGAGGGCTGCTTTCCAGTCTGTGCGTTTTGGGGTTTTATTCTGAAAAAAAAAACAAATCCAAAAACTTCATCCAAGAGAGTTTTCGATAGGCAGGGACAGTCCAGCTGCCGACGTTTATGCGATTGTTTTCTTGTTTGCAAACTTGTTGTTAGCTAATTGCTTCAGACGGACCTCACAAAATGGCGACCCAGCTAAAAGAAATGTTGTTTGCTAGCCTGCTTGCTAACTAACTCGCTTAAAGCATCATTGCTAACAGCAGCAGCTAGGCTAGCTGTTTCGCAGACAGAGCAGTGCGTCGCAGTCGGCATCCTGCCGGCAAAACAACACAATAATAAATACAAAACCGTTCACTGTACCTTTTCTTTTCAGTGACGACTCCAGTATCCATTCCTGGGTGAAACCTCCTAATGTGTAAGGTTTTCCCAAACCACCTCCGCAACAAAACAGTAGCTAACTAGTAGCTAAGCTAGTTCCCAGATACGAGAGAATGAAGGACGTGGCCGCCTTTCTTAACGAATAAGACGCCCGAATCGAACAAAACGCTGCTCGAACCACCAAATTACAAGTCTCTTGTGTTGTTGTCTCAATAGTCGAATAAGAGAGGTCGACCCTCCGTGTGACTGAAGGTCAAAACATCTGTATTCCTCCGGTTCGGTACTCCCCGGCACAAAGAGTTAACGCTAGCTCGCTTCAATGTGGCTTCGCTACTACGTACTATGAGGGCTCGTTCATGATTACGGGAGCGCGCAATCACATGTTTCGCTGGCACAGAGACGGCTCTGCACAAACGTCATCGAAAAAGAAAGGCTGCAGCTCTCTTCACACCGTCTTCGCTCAGGATGTAAACATAACAGAAATATGTAATAAAAACCTGTCACCGTAAACCATACGATATTAAACCATGTGGGCAATTTCTAAACATTTAAGGGTCCTATAATGTTCAGAAATCCTGCTTGGGGAGCCCCATCCATTACCATCACACCATTTGGTATGCAGGATTTAATAATACTTCTAATCAGTGAAAAAAAAAACATGCATAAATGCTAAGGGAAAATACAATATTTCTAACTAAAACAAGCGAAACAACATGTAAACATCTAAACTGTCTACACGAATAAGCAAGAGTTAGATTCAATTAAATAACATTCAACAAGGTAAAGTACAATGTGTTTAAGCAGCATGTGTATAATTTCTGATTTCCTGGTTTTCTGGAAGCAAAGCTATTAACAACCAAAACTGAAATGTTTATGTCGGTCTGTACTGTAGATCATACTTGACAGAACTGTTAAAACTAAACTCACTCCAGTGACGTTCATAATACTGAAGAAGTGCTTAATCATTACAATCTGCACTATTCACAGTTGGCAAGAGTTTTTCAACCCAGTCGTATGGGCCGTCCAGCTAGTATGCTGTATTTGTTGTATATCAGAAACATCTAGTGGCTGTAAAATATGAATTACCTGGTTGTATTTGGATTTAAAAAGAAACAACAGTGTGGATTGACTGTAGGCATCAAGACCTGGATTGTGATGGTCCTCCACTGAGAGCATGATATAAGAATTGCATGAGGTGAGCTGTTATTGATAGTTAGAAGCAGAGACATTGAGTGCTTCTTGGAGCCTTACTGTCAGACTCAGCAATCTCTTGTGACTGTTCTGAACCAAGAAAGCTTGGACAAGTTCATATTTTTTTATGTTAAGGTTATTTTCTTAATCGCAAATGAAATAGGGTTAGTTTGGCACCACTGTGCGGTATAAAAAGACAGGAGATCAATATGATGGACATGAGAGAAGTTAGAACAGTCACAGGCATCTGCAGCCTCAAATTGAAATCCTTTTTATTGAGCCTTCCAGTGGAAATCAGTGAAAAGTGTGAAAGGAGTTTGATAAAACAACCAAATATTATGTTCAAACGGTGCCTAAGTGATAGTGCAGGCCAAGCCTGGAGGTTGTTGATGGCCTTGTGACTCTCACACCTGTTCTTGTTTTGCTGCCCATAAATTAGTTTACAGTTTATAATAGACGGTTTGTTTGTGGAAGACATTTGTAAGACACTTCAGCTGTGACTGATGTGATGTATTGCATGTGAAAGGCTGACACAAACCATTCAGGCAACAGATGAAAGGGTATTTAGGTCAAATTTGTGATTTTTTGGGAATAGTATAGCACACAATGGACCGGTTTCCCAAATGGATTAACGGATTAGTCTTGAACTAAACTGCAGCATCAACATTGAATGACCGTTGGAAATTCTTTTCAGTCTAGGCTTATGTTTTATCTGGGCCTGTAAAACTGGCCTATAATCAAACAAAGTGGCTGCAACTACAGCATCGTAGCACCATTAGCAGTGACCACAATGACCAAAGCTAAATGGAGTTGGGAAGGTGTAAACCCTTTCGTGGAAAAGAGCAGTCCAGGAATAGCTCTGCAGGTCTAAAAAAAAAACATTAGCCTATTTCCAGGCATTTAGAGAAGATTAGAGAAGTATTTACCAGGTAGCCACTGGCACCATGAGTTGTGTAATTGATGTACTGCAGTAATATATTTTGTCTTCAGTCAGTATTGCAGGCATAACTGGTAAGCTGCAGTTCATAACTGCAACCCATAAAGCCACTTATGCTGTATGCAAATATAGTCATAGTGGATGGTGAAGCAGATGCAGAGAGAACAAAGAACGTACTGTTATATGGCAGCGTAAAAACTGCCACACGACGAAAAAATAATGAATCGTTTTCACCAGTAAAGTCCTATGGACTAAAACAAACAACCAGCCACCAGGAGGGAAAACAAGGACAAAAGGAACCGTTCAATCTAAAGTTTGCCAGGAATGTGACGTTACTCGGAGTTGGCCTTTTGCCAGTCATGCTCTTTACTTGGATACTGCCAACAACCACTACAGACTGTTGGCCAGACATTGTGCGTATTTATGGAATCCAGTGCGCTAGCAGAGAATGCTGGAAAACAAATAATTGAGCTGTCAAAAACACAGCAATGCTACGTGAAGTAATAGATACTAAAGATTTTCCACACTAAAGGCATTGATTGATACTGATGCTGCCAAAAAAGAGATTGCATTCAAGAAAATTGTCCTAAGGCCACACCCGCACTGTTTTATTAGAATAACTGAAATAACCCCTGAAGTCTTGGCACATCCCCTGTGTAGGACCCAGTGAACTTCTCAGCAATGTTGACTCAGTGCACCAGCTAAGTCTGAATCACACAGACGCCATTCAGCCAGATTCTGCTAGTTTTTGGCAGCCTGACGCTGTATTGCTGGATGAAGAAATACTTCAGTCCAACCAAACGCAAGGTTAAACTTTCCCTTCATCATCTGTGGCACGGTACAATTTCTTGCCAAAGCCAGAAGACAATAGAGCATTTTTCCAACCACCACAGTAAAAACAATTAATTATAGTGCCAACACAAGCATGTGCTGTGATACGCTAATGCAATGAAATCATTTACACATCTTGAAAATAGGGTTGCATTGTTGCTTTTTCACACTTTGCATACTTTATTTATGCTCAGAATTGTTATTCGGTATCACAGTAAGTAAAGAGGAATACAAGTCTGGCTCCCGTAAACCAGATGGTAAGCACAAATGTGTGTGAAACTCTTTGCTAAGCAGCTCTTCAGCTGCCTCCCCTTTCCAAACATGACAAAGCACTGTGTCACGGAGAATAAGCTTTGAACTGGGTCAGAGGTGCTGAACTCTGCCCTTGGAGATATTCCAACCTGCAGATAGCCCAGTGTAACCCACCTGTCACACTCTTTAGGAGCATCTCTGTCTTACAGCAAGTTATTTAAGAATAGATTTGGAAACTCTGTAGAGCAGTAGATCTTAAGGAGCATGCAAGGTGTGTCTAATTCAGGTCAACTCTTAGTCTTTTATGACACACAAGTAACCAGACCTGTTACTAAGCATGTATAATTTACACATCCTATGGTGGTTTTCCATACAGAGATCAGCCTAAGCACTGTACTGGACTAAGTTACACTGTTGATGAGATTCTAAATTTTAAATCTAGTCGGAGTCTTTCTGAGAATTAGCCCTTTAAAGGATGTGAGAGCTAACCACCAAAATATTCTTGGCTAATGTAGACAATTAAACACCCTCAAAAATGATGTTTTAGTTTACCCATTTTTACTATATTGTATGTAATTTTGACATATCTTTGAGTAAATAAAACTACACACTGGTTATTTTAAAGTGACACAAAAAGTGTGTGACTTATCTGCGTACACAGGTGTATTTAAAAAAGTATGTTTTGCGTTTAACACATTTTCAGAGTGTGCAGACGGTCAGTTTACCTACAGTACTGTGCTAAATTCAGAGGTCACTCTCCATTTATTTAATGCCCAGTCAAAACAACTGTTAAGTATGTTATTTTTCAGTGTCAGCAAAAAATGCAGAAACATATTTATTATTTATTATTTATCAGAAAATGACACCTCAAAAGCCTCAACAAAATATAATATCATTTTTTTCAGTATTTAGTCCTTTATTACAGCTTCCATTCTTCTCAGGAGACTTAATTTCAGTTTTTCAAAGAAATCTTCAGGGATATTTTTCCACACCTCCAAAGTTCAGTCTTAGATGTTGGTTGCACTTTCTGATTCTCACGATCCACATAATCCCAAATACATTCAGTGATGTTGAGGTCTGGTCTCTGGAGTTGTCAGTTCATTGTTCTGAGAACATCAGCAGCTTCTATATTTGATTAGCACATGCTCTTCTTTTTTGTCTACTTCCTTTTCTTGGTAACAGTTTCTTGACAGCTGCACATCCTTTCAGAATCATAGCGTTGAGTCATCTTCTCACAGTGTCCATCAGTGTCCATCATCATCACCTGTGGATTTTTTCAGATCTGAAGCAAAAGTGGAGCTTGATTTTCTCCTTAAAGTAGTGTCTAACTGATGGTGACAGTTTTGGTGGTTTACCAGGTCTTGCACAGCTTGTTTTTCTGGAAATTAAATAAATGAAGGGTAATAGTTGACTTTGGTGCAGATGTTTACAAAAAAAAGACAAAATTTGCTTTAGATTTCTAGGTTATTTTAAATTTTTTCTCAGAAAGGCCTCACTAGAGTTACCACAGTGCAACTTGTGATTGACACTGTACCAGAGAGGTTAAAGATTCATGAGATGTTTGCCTGCCTGCCAACTGTAGTGATAGACAAGTGGTACAACTCTGCTGTTGTTTCAAGGTGTACATGAGATGTTTTTATTTCTGTCCTGAAAAATTAATGCTTCCACCTGTGTCAGGTTAAGCATATATATTTAATAATTTAGTGAACCAGAGGAAATTATGTGCACTGTAAATGCTGCTGCTTTAGGACATGTTGACACCAGTCTTCAGTTCAGAATTCAGCAGAAGCAGGAGCTGACTCATGTGAGTTACAACTCATAGTTGTCAACAAAGCTTTATAAATGAGTGTATAAATACATATATATGGGTATTTTTATATAAATATGTAGAGTGTGTGTTTGTGTATGGGTATATGCATGTGTATACTCATTTATCTTTGATTTATGGTGTTTTCTTTTGTTTCTATGTAAACTTTGTTGTGTTAACATACCAACTGAGGGTGGATGGGTGGGAGGGAGGGAGATTGATGGTAGAGCATTTATTATTTGTATCTCTGCTATCATTGTGCATCTTGTTTTCTGTTCAGTATTTAAAAAATTGTTCACACAAATGTAATGTCAGTTTGTGGTAAACGCTCTTCATAAAGTGTC